GGATGAGTACGATGGCTTGCCGGACTGGTGGGCGAATCAAGACTGGTGTCATCAGGAGATGGGTGATTCTCCTTCTTTCGCCCACCCATGATCTTTTTGAAGAAACCTTTCTCATGGTCCTTAGCACTAGTCGGCACCTCCATATCGTATCTTGCCAATCCGGTGCCTGGCCGTGAGCCTTCGTAGCCGTTCTTCCGGTTCTCATTCCGGCTGTCAGACCGGTTCTCGAATGACCTGCCCGAGGGTGGACCGGAGCCAGTATTAGCGAACGTGGAGTTTATTGATTCGGTGCTGTTGACGCGGTTGTGAGGAGAGTAGTAGCGGGATCCGTTGTTATTCAAACCCGCGCTGAGCTGCCCCCCATTAGTAGCAAGGCGGGCTGATGATAAGGCTGGGCTTTGCTGTGGACTTGCTTGGCGATAGTTTGTCGCACCCAGAGAGGATGGCCCAAATTCCGAGGATGCGTTTGGGCTGTGCCGGACAGACTTTGGATCGAGGCCCTGGAGGACTTCTCTTGAGTAGGGACTGCGTGCCGGTCCCTCTGAAAAGTCTGGAGTCGGACCAAGGCCTGGAACTGTGAAATTGCGCTGCTGTGTAGAGATACGTCTGGGTGGATTTGTGCTGCCACCAGGCGAATGTAATAGCAACTGGCGACCAGGGCTCTCCTCGCCGTTGCCGGCTGTGGTTGGTGTCGATCCAAAATCCATGCCCCGAGTGCCAATGTAGGGTGAATTCTCGACAGTGCCCTCTGTTCCAGCGCTCGTCATGCCAGTATCAGATCGTTGCGGTGCTGCCCGAGGATTGGCGGTGGTGCCAGTCTCAACAATGGAGCGTACAAGTCTACGCAGCTTGCGGCCCTCGTCTCGCTCTCTGTTCTGGTCCCATCCAGTCCCACTTGCGGTGCATTGCTTGGCCAGCTGCGGAAAGATGACCTGATGCATCATGGCTACGTTGCCTTTGCTACCATGGCCGCGGCCAATATCCAAGAACTTTGAGCCTTCAAGACCCAATGTCCTGAATGTTTCTTGCCAGTCTCGTGAGAAATTGTTGCTCGCTAGCCAATGTTGTACACGTTCAGCGGGCCAATGCATCGAGTGGTCGTGGGGAGATATGGGCGTGGTGCCGTTGCTTTCGGAGCGGTGGTAGACGCTGCCATGGTTCTGGACCATTGGGTTCTGTAGGGTTGCGGTTGGCGGCCCAGAGGAGTCGTAAACCTGAGCTCGTTCGGTGGGTATATTGAGGTGATTGCGACTGCTGGGCGTCTGGGGAATGTTGAAGCCGTTGTTGGAGCCATATTGCACGCTTTGCACGCTCTCGAGGAGGCTGCTAGAGAAGGCCTGGGCCGACGTGTCGGTGTTGGCGGAGTAGTTGTCGTCCCTGTAGTAGGGCTCGGGATAGCCTCCTCGCGAAGTGTGCAGTGGAGGTATGCCTACGCCGGGACCAAACGACTCGCCGCCGGGGATGTATGTGGCTGACGTTAGAGGGGGTTCGCGCTCGTGCTGGATTTGTTGAGGCGGAGGCCCTGGGGGAGGGGGGATGTTGTGAGGGTAATTGCGATACTGGCCCGGGTCGTAGCCTTGCTGCTGGTACTGGGGTCTTGGGGGACCCCAGTTGTTGGAAGCATGCGGGGGCGGCGGGATGGGTATGCCCCCCAGGCTGCCGTAGTTGGTGGGCCGTGGCGGCGGCGGGGGAAGGGCAATGTGGCCGGCGGGCGTGCTCGAGGGCTGGGGCGGCGGAGGGGGGATGTATTGATGCATAGCTGGGCCGTCGAGGTACGGCTGCTGGCGGTGCGTGGTGAGTGGGTCGGCAACAGTATGCGCCCTCGCACGCGGACTCGTAGAAGGCGCGCTGGCGCCGCCGGGGGAGAAGGAGGGATATGGCGAGCCGAGATTGCTCAGGCCCAGAGGCTGGAGCGACGACGAGGGCGACGAGGTGACGCTGGGGATCTCAGGCAGCGGAAGATTGGTGTGCGGGATGCGGTTCGGGCGAGGCCCGCGACGGGCAGCAGGGTCCGAGGGATTGGAGATATTTGACGCGGAGCGCTGTCGAGGCTCTTGGGTCATGTCTTGACCACGGCACGGCGGTGGAGGCTCCTCGGATGGGTCAGAGGCCAAGGTCCGTCACATCACGACATGCCTGGGGGAGCCAGCTGCCAGACGTGGTGGGCTCCTTGGGCTCCTTTGTCGGTGTCGATGCAAGTTGCGCGGGTGGGTCCCAGGACCAAGGCGACAGGTCGAATACGGGATACGAATCGCGGAGCCGTTGGGACGAACGGGGGGTGAACGATGGAGTCTGGAGGTCAGAAACGCGGCGCCTGCGCTTGCGTCGACGAGGGCGCTTCGACGAGGGCGGATGCGCTTGGCCGTCGCAGCAAAGATGGGATGCAACCACGGCGCGGGAGATTGCGAGGGCAGCGGGGGCAGCGGCGAGGGCAGCGGCGACAACAGCAACAGCAGCAACACAACGACGAGGGGCAGCGACTGAGCGACCGAGTGCGCCGGCGTCCAGATGCTGCCTGAGGGTCTGGCGGTGGTGAGAGCTACGGCCCGCGCACGGGCCAGGCGTGAAGCCGGCACCGTGATTTGCTGGACGCGCCTCTGAACTCTTGCGCTGTCAGCCGTTGCACCCTTCTCGACCCGCCTCTTGCACGCTGTAACTTTCAATGCGCATGGATCATTACGTAGCCACCGGAGAGACACCGTCGCGAGCCCACTTGCCGTGTTTCATCTCACACGAGCACGTGGCGGTGCTGGCCTCGCACCGCCACAACTGCTGCTGCACTCAGTCGAGCCAAAGAAGCCAAAGAAGCCAGCGCGCAAGCTATCCATCGTGCCCCGTTAGTCAGGTACTGACTGGCCCGGCTATCTGCTCCCGAGCACCACCTTTGCTCGTATCAACGTAATGTCTAATTTCAATCTTCAGCTCCTTTCGCCCTCTCCGTCGCACTCACAAAACTTTGTCTTCCGCTCTAAGTCTCGGTAAATTCCTGCAAATACCATTTCCCATTTCTCGTAGTATGTTTTGGTGGGGCAAGCGGTTAGTCGACAGGGCCAACCCTCCCTCCAACCTTGGCCGCAGAGCGCACAATGTACATCTACCAGCATCACGACCAGCTGGACGTCTTGTCTTGGAGCACCTTCACTGATTGGCAAGTTTCGATATGGCGATATTTCGGCGTTTTGGTCCTGCTATAACAGTACCTCGAACGGGCCAGCTTGTTCGTTCCTGGTGTGGTCAACTTGGCCATTTTCAAGCTGGCACATTGGAGTGCACGCGACTTGCTCTTACGAGGCCTGTGCAACATCGCGGCATCTCAAGCACCCAAGCCACCCCACGCATTCATGTCCTGGGCCTAGGAAGTGTCGGCGCTTTCACAGCCCACTCGCTTGCTGAGATACCTGCAAGACTAGCGGTAAATTTACTGCTCCATCGTCCCTCTCTTGTGCAAGACTATGTGCAAAATGGAAACAGGATCCGATTGAAGACGCACCAAGGCCAGAATGTAGCTCAGACGGGCTATGACTTGGAGGTGTTGCACGGTAAAACCTGGCACTTGATGCAGGATTCGCGCACGTATGGGGCTGCTGAAATATTGCAGTCAGTAGGAACCCCAATCGATGAGAACATCGGGGACCTTATCGTGTGCGTCAAGTCTACCCAGACGGTTGCAGCCCTACGGCCTCTTCTACCCAGACTTTCGCGCGAGTCCAACGTTATGTTTCTGCAGAATGGCGCAGGCATGATCGAAGGCGCAAACACATTCCTTTGGCCTGATCCGCATGTGCGACCAAATTACGTTACGGGAGTGATATCGCACGGCATCACTCTGAACCGACCCTTCGATATCACTCACACGGGGCCTGCAGCTACATCAGTAGGACCAGTCCCTCGAGAAGATGGCGACACAGCTCAACCGCTTTCGCGGCTGCTAGACATTCTACCTCTTGCGCACCGTCTGAAATGTCAGGCTTATTCATGGCCCACTATAGTGAGTGTCCCTGTACAAGCTTCACGCGAGGCACACACTGACTTGGTACACCCACCTCCAGCTTCAGGTCCAACTAGAGAAGCTCGCCTGCAACGCGCTCAGCAACCCTATCTGTGCACTCGAAGACGCAGTGACTGCCTACATCCTCAGCATTCCAGAAACCAACATGAGACTCATGCAGGAAATCTCATCCGTCATCCTCGCTCTGCCTGAACTACAGGGTGTGGAGGGTGTGAAGGAGAGATTTTCGGCGAAATCTTTGCACCACACGGTAATGGATATCATTAAGAAGAATAGAGCAACTACGGTGAGTATGGTGTGGGACATGAGAAATAGACGAGAGACGGAAATCAGATACATCAACGGGTACTGGGCCAGACGTGGAAGGGAAGTGGGTGTAAGAACACCATTGAATGACGAGCTGGTGGAGAGAGTTCAGGAAATGACTGCAGATAAGCTGCGGGGAGCTGGGTCGTGATCTTCACGTTCTGATGTATGATTAGCAAAATTCAGACTTGGATGAATGTTGGGATTCTGCTGTGGATAGACGGGTGATGATGCAGATTGACCAAATACATGTGGATGGAGTGGTACGGCCCACGAGGCGCCCCGCTTTCAAATGTCTCGATTCCACTCTGACCAACAATCTCGTGCTTGATACAAGTTATTTCCACGCCGCGATAACAGTGTTAGTACGAAGAAAATCGTGAGCGTAAACGAAGCCTCGAGCTGCAAGCGCACGCATTCGGTAGCAAGACCACGCCGCAGATCTGATACCTCACGCCACCTGGGCTGACAAACAGCGTGTATGCAGCGCGTCGCGTTACTATGGTGCAGTGTCCCACGTCCACCCGATGCACTCGCACGAGACGCGCCCAACAATGGCGCTGGCCGGTAAAGACCGGACATGACCTCATTGCCATAAACTTCGCGGACCCTTCTTAAAGGTAGCTGCGCCCAACAGCCACCATCATACCAAATAAACTACTTTCTTAGCATCAAAGCTTCAATTATCTGACAGCTCGGCAATATGGCACAGGATCTACGCTCCCAGGATATCAAAAACCCAATTGACGTTGCAGAGGTGAGTCGTGTGGACTGAACACGCATGTGAGAACGTGCTAATTGACCGACGCAGTACCTCTTCCGTCGACTTCAACAAGTTGGAGTCGAGTCAGTGCACGGTGTGCCAGGAGACTACAACCTCGTCGCACTCGACTACATTCCCAAAGTCGGCCTGAAATGGGTCGGCAACTGCAATGAGCTCAATGCTGGTATGTAAAGCTCGTCCTTGCGCTACCAGCGGCTCGCTTGCGGGAGCGACCGAAGTCGATCCGCCCGCCTCATACTATATATATACTGACGATTACTATAGGCTACGCGGCAGATGGCTACGCAAGAGTCAAGGGCATCTCTGCACTGGTCACGACTTTTGGTGTTGGAGAACTCTCGGCAGTCAATGCTATCGCTGGCGCTTACTCCGAATACGTACCCATAGTCCACATCGTCGGCTATCCATCGACTGCATCACAGAAGAACGGAGCACTGCTACACCACACTCTTGGAAATGGCGACTTTACTGTTTTCTCGAGGATGTCCAAGGAAATCTCATGTGCTGTTTCCATGCTGAACAGCCAACACGAAGCAGCCATGCTCATCGACAACGCCATCCGGGAATGTTACCTAAAGTCGAGGCCCGTCTACATATCTTTGCCTAGCGATATGGTGACGAAGAAAGTCGATGGCGATCGCCTCAACACACCACTGGATCTGGAATATCCACAGAATGACCAAGAAGCCGAAGACTATGTTGTAGATGTGGTCTTGAAATATCTACATGCAGCAAAGAACCCTGTCATCCTTGTGGATGCATGTGCTATCCGCCACCGAGCGTTGAAGGAAACTCACGACCTCATCAAAAAATCAGGCATCCCTACATTTGTTGCACCAATGGGAAAGGGCGCAGTGGATGAGACGCTACCCAACTATGGTGGTGTATACGCCGGAGACGGTTCCAACGCTGGTGTGCGGGAACGCGTTGAGTCGTCGGATCTTGTTCTCAGCATTGGTGCTATCAAATCCGACTTCAATACTGCAGGCTTCACCATTCGCATGTCTCAGCTGACCACTATCGATCTACACAGCTACGGATGCAAGGTACGCTACTCGGAATACCCGGGTGTAAGAATGAACGGCGTTCTCTCCAAGGTTACAGCAAAGCTAGGAAAGCTCAACATTGAGTCCGGACCTAACCCAAACAACAACATTCCAGAGAAGGAGACCGCATCTACTGAGTCGTCGATCAAGCATGCCTGGTTTTGGCCAAAACTCGGTCAATGGCTGAAGAAGGACGACATCCTCATTACCGAGACTGGCACCTCTAACTTCGGTGTCTGGGAAACTCGCTTCCCAACAGGCGTCAACGCCATCTCACAAGTCCTCTGGGGCTCTATCGGATACGCAACTGGCTCCTGTCAAGGTGCTGCTCTTGCCGCCAAAGAATCAAACATCAAGCGCACTATACTCTTTACAGGTGACGGCTCTTTCCAACTTACAGCACAAGAGGTCTCGACTATGATCCGCAACAAGCTGGCTCCTATCATTTTTGTGATCTGCAACAAGGGTTATACAATTGAACGGCTCATCCATGGATGGGAGGACTCCTACAACGACGTTCAGGAATGGAAATACAAGGACATTCCCCGTGTCTTTGGTGCCGAAGAAGGCAGTGTCCTTACATACCGGGTCGAGACAAGGGAGGAAGTTGAGAAGCTGTTCCAGGACGAAGAGTTTTCTAGTGGTGAGACGCAGAAGATGCGGTTCGTCGAGTTGGTCATGCCGTGGGATGATGCACCGGCTGCGCTCAAGGCGGTTGCTGAGGCTGCGGCTAAGACGAATGCTAGTGCTGAGTAGACGGTATAAGGAGGGGTTTGCAACTAATAGATGGTGTCAGGAAAAGACTTGGATATAGGATATGGCATTAGGCACGGTTCTCTTCTCTTCGTATGAATAATGACAATATAGCCCTACTCAAATATAATCTTACATACGTCACTGGCTTCATGACTCGAAATTTGCTTCGAACATGTAGCAGAGAGCAATTACAAGTAAAGCAAATTGATTTATACAGGTGCACAAAATGGAAAGTGATAACAGAAGCGTACGTTGTTGATTTGTATGTATTTCAACTATCGTTCCTTCGTAAGATCTCCGTACTGTCTTCATGTATCGACCAGGTCTTATCGCCTCGTGCTCTCAATATTATATCATTACGTTTACTTTCTGACCTCCAACTCTTCTTTACAAAGCGATAGCAAAGACAACCGCCACCACTGTCGTGCTCATTGCCGCCCAAAACGTCCTACCGGCGATCATCATGCCACTCGCATCACCCGAAGCAGCACCGCCAGAGTCTGCACCATCCCCTGTTGGGCTCGGCCTCGGGGGTGGGAAGCTTGTGTTTGTGGGCGTCTCAGTAAGGTTCTGCACTGTAATCCAGGTCGCGGCAATTCCGTTTGTCAAATTCGCGTCAGCCGCGAACTGGCTAACGTTGAAGCCCACCCTGTTGTCTGCTAGATCGTCGTACATGGAGGGTATGCTAAAGTTGCGTGGCTGTGCCATCAGGATGAACGTGTAACTGTGCGGGATATCGCCGACAGGAGGCGAGGGCTGAAGGTACGGGACGGGATTATCCGAGGGGATCACAAGCGGCGATCCTGTTGTGTTGGCAGAAATGGGCACGGAGCGTGTTACATTTGTGGCAATCCAGTGGACGAGTTGGACGCGCGAGTTGTTACGGGGTACGTCGAGGTCCACCATGAGGAGGACGCATCGGCCGGGGCCTTGCTCGTCGGCGAACCATACTGGGGACGAGATTGTCGGGGGTTGTGCGGTTTCTGGTGATGGTTATCAGCTTGGAGTTGCAGGGAATCAGGTCGACTGCGCCGCGACGACAGAGAATGAGACATACCAGGACGGGGAATCAGCTCTCCACCAGGCGACACGGTATTGTTCCCGTACATGACCGTCAAGTTCTGGGAAACCTGGATGGGAAACCCAGGTGCCGTCGCCGCCGTCGCAACACCCGCCAGCAGCGCAGTGGCGCTCAGAATGGTCTTGGTGAACATATTGGTCGTCGTCTTGGTCGGTGTTGTTGTTGTCGGTCGTGGTGGTGTGTTGTGTTGCGCCGTGAGGGCAGTCGTCGCTTGATGATGCGAAAAACGAAGGAGCGTGCGCTGCTTCTTTAATTCGTGTCTTGGACCTGCGCAAACTGCAAGAACCTGGTGGATGTTTCGTAGCTAAGGGCCTAATTCCGAGTACCCGAAGTGACAGCTCCAGATGTCGTTCATGACGTTAACCAAGACTTGGTCAAGGGCCGGCCTTGTTCGGGGTTTAGGCCAGGGCGGCATCCCGGCACAACTCACCTGAGCGCGAGCGCTGATTTGATTGCCTGAGGGCCCGTCTTCATGCCGTAGTCGGGGTTATAAACACGACCGCGCTGGTCGCCTTGTGCTCATGAGCCGTTGGACCTTTGGTCGGAGCAATTGACTCCTGCACTGGTGTGTGTTTTCATCATGTTCGCGCCAGTCTAAGCATGCGCCGTTATCTTTGGCCGCAACACGTGCTCGCGTAGTTGAGGACCACAGCAACGGATACCGGCAGAATGCCCATGGCTATTCATTCAGGCCGCCCTCAAGGCGTGCACGATTCCTTAAAAATAAACCACGCATGGATAAAGTGTGCCTGCAATTCGTCTATGCTCTATGTTTTAGAAGGCCTGTCTTAGCTCATGCTACTCAAAACACTGCTCATTGCCTGTCCCTATGATCGACTGATCATATGGTCTCGTGCAGGGCCAACGCCAATCCACTTGACCTTCACTCCGACAAACTTCTCAATGTACTCGATGTAGTTCCTCGCCTGGACGGGCAGGTCGTAGTAGCTCGTTACACCAGTTGTAGGCTTTTTCCAGCCAGGCAGCGTGTCGTACTGTACTTCAACTTGGCCAAGTATCTCGATGTTCGCAGGGAAACCTTCGAGCACTTCACCGTTGTACGAGTAGGATGTCGCAACTTTGAGTTCGTCAAAATCGTCGAGGACGTCGAGCTTGGTGAGGTTGATGGCGGTGTAGTCGTTGCAGGCGTGCGAGTGCTTGACGACAACAAGGTCGAGCCAGCCGCAGCGGCGCTTGCGACCGGTTGTGACGCCAACTTCGTGGCCTACCGATTGGAGCTTCTCGCCCAGCTCGTTCAGCTGCTCAGTAGGGAAGGGTCCGCTGTCGTACGTTAGACTACGTTGCTCGTTTTTGGACAGTAATATGAACTCACGATCCGACACGTGTGGTGTAGGCCTTCACTACACCGATGACCTCCTTCAGTGACCGCCAGCCCAAGTTGAGACCTGTGATGACACCTCCAATACCTGTGTTCGATGATGTGACGAAGGGGTATGTTCCGTAGTCAATGTCTAGCATCAGCGCGTTCGCACCTTCTACTAGAATCTTAGCGTTCTTCTCCTTGGCCGATGCGAGGAGTGGGATCTGGTCGACGACATAGGGAGCAAGCTTCTCGCGCAGAGTCTACTCATACTGTTAGCCTTCGCATCGCAACATGCAATGCCGCCATGACTAACCTTGTACTGCGCAATCTCCGCATCCACGTCGTACTTGAGCAGATCACCGTATCGCTTCTGGAATCCCGAGGCTAACCTCCTGAGCTTCGTCTCGAAGATCTGCTCGTCGAACAGATCGCACATGCGGAGACCGCTCCTGGTCATCTTGGTGCTGTAGGTTGGGCCAATACCCTTCTTGGTTGTGCCTATATCCCACAATTAGCACTGGTGTCCCTCGCTATGCGCGTATGTTCCTCACCAATCATGCCACCACCCAGTTCCACTTCTTCCAGACCATCCACCTTCTGGTGGACGTCGAAGACGACATGTGCTCTGTCCGAGATGAATATCCTTCCTTCAGTGTTCAAGCCATGTTTCTCCAGCGCCTCCAATTCCTTGAAGAAGCTCGGCACGTGGACGACGCAGCCACTTCCGATGACGTTGATGCAGCCGGGGTTTACAAGACCACTGGGGAGGATATGGAAATCGTACGTCACGCCGTTCGCGACGATGGTGTGTCCGGCGTTGTTACCGCCTTGGGCGCGGCAGCAGATTTGCGATTCGTGAGCGAGTATGTCGGCGAGCTTGCCCTTGCCTTCGTCGCCCCATTGGGCCCCGAGCACAACGGTAGTTGTCATCGTGAGAACGAGGAACGAAGAAAAGGGAATGGACGGGGCGGCGGGTGGGTTTTCAATTGCCCATGGAGAAGCGGACTTGGCCGAGTTAGTCACAAAGTCCAATAAAAAGATTTGCGCCGTTGGACGTCGCAATCAGCGCGTTGAAGCACCGTTAGACTCAGCGCGAACGGATAACTTAGGCCGAATTCGCTTACGCCGATGAGGGGTGGCTCACATTTCACGCGCTGAGCGATCTCACGACTCAATTGCTCGTTGCCAGTGTTCGGCGTTATGTTTCTTTTACCATCTTCGTACCCCACCATACCCCACCATACGACACAATGCCGCAATTTTCAGCACGAGCCAATGACGCATGTACCTCAGCCTTAACCCTATCCTTCTCAGTTTGTGCTAGACTACCATAATCACGATGGATAATCTGGTGAGACAAGACTACATTGGCAGCGAGAAAGATGCATTGGAAACTACCTAATCAAGTGCTCTTTCGCTTTCTTTGCAAAACACGTATCCAGCTACCAGAGGTCAAAGTTCCATCTCCACTTGTGGCTTAACCACGCCAAACAGCTGGACCTGGTGGCTGATATGTCTCAGGGGCTGCCGTGTACTTGTTCAGATCTACGAGAATCCCTGGGTCGTTGCTTCTGCAATCGCGTGTTAGTGTATGCATACATTACACGCTACTTCAACTTACTTGTATGCGCCAGGCAATGCAACAAGAGGTCCAGGGACCCCGCTTCCTCCCTCGGTAATTTTGATCTGCGAGCAGGCGAGGTAGAACTGCGCTTTGTTGGCTTGCATAGCCATGTGTAGTGCTATGTGTTCAACGCGAAGCAGGTACTCGCCCGCGGGTGTCGTAGCAGGAATTGTTGTGTTGGGAGTAGTATACTCATCTACAAAACACTATTAGGAAATGGTCAGATTCTAAAGGGATGACATACTCTGTCCTGGCCAGCTCATCTGCTTCTGCGCATTTACGCTCGGCATCGTAGTGCTGATCTTGAACCACACTGCGCCACTCCCATCCCAACTCTTTACATCCTTGCCGTCTGGAACCTTTGCAAGATAGTATTGTGTCGGTCCTGGGTGGTTGACTTGTTGCGTCGAGATATAGTGGACGGTTGACCCGGCTGGCACAATTGCAATATTTGGCGCGGTTTTGGAAGTGTAGCAGCGAATGTCAGCAACGGTGGGGTTCTACACGAGAAGTGAGTGTAATAAGTATGCGATAGTAAAGAAAGTTGTGATCATCGTAGATTACCTCAATGCCTTGCTTGGTATTTGCGTTCTTGGTCTCGCGGGTCGAAGACCAGTCTTTATCCTCTGGCTTTCCTTCTATAACGAGACGTGGGAAAGTATCTGTTCATGTGAACTTGCATGAAGAACATTTGATAAAATTGGCTTACAGTGTGCCTGTACTACAGTGGCGACAGCCAGAATTGTAGCGAGTACATGCATAACGGGCGATCGGATCATACACAATGTGAACGGTTTTTGCTTTTACCTCGATATCTTATATGTGGTCCATCGTCAGAGCTATACGGACGACATACCAGCTGACTCGAGAACTTTAGATATATGAGCTTGGCTATATCGAAGATACTAATGTAACCTATTGGACACAGCAAGTATATTACAATATGCCAATGTCGATGAAGCGACCAATAGACATCGGCCTCCGTGTATGTCATATGCTAGAATCCGACATCTGCCGGCACAGAGTGAGGGCATAGCTGAATCATATATCGTCGCAAGCCCGACACCAGATTTCACAATCACAATGCGATTATGTAGACATTTTGATCACCCATAGGTTGTTGTACAAGTCTTTAGAGAAAAGTTGAATTCCCATATGGCACGAGTCATGCCGCTACGCTAACATCGAGCAAAGTAAAACGAACGAAATGTTGAGGTCGTGTCGAATCGTGAGCATGCACATCTAGTGCATGTAGCGGAACTCAGGGTGTCTGTATCCGAGGTCCTTGATCTGAGCAGCGGTTTTGCCAACCAGACGGTGGTCTCGCTTGCCCAGGTCGCGTTGCTTGTTCTCCCACTTGCAATAAAAGATTCCGAAAGTGGCGAGAAGGCACACGCAGATCTGACCAGCCAAGTTGATAGTATGACCTGTCGGATACCTTGGTGCATCCTGACTGGTATACGTCCTGCGATATGTTAGCTACATGTTTCAATCGTAACTGCTCTGTAATTTGACGTACCAGGTCGCAAGAATACCTCCAGCGGTACCAAGCGTGACCACGTAAGCAGTCGAGACTGAGCGGACAGCAGGACCTGCTGCATTGTTTGCCGCCCACGCGAGGAAACCAGGACCACCTGGAAACGCGCCAATAGTGATAAGGAAAATACCACCGTATCTGACGTTCGGGTCGGTAGCCCATCGCATAATAGAGAAGCCCGCAATAGCTGGGAGCGTAAAAATGGCGAGGTAGATACCACGGCGGTTGGTCTTGTCCGAGACGAAGGCCACTGCAATGGCAATCAGGCACGCGCATACATAGGGAGGTACTGAATAAAGTTGAGACTTCGTGGCCGTCCAACCAAGATCCCTGAGAATAGTGGGCTAGAAGTGTATGTTAGTATATAGAACTGTCCTGAACGAATATTGGCTTACCATGAATAGAGAGATACCCTGCACGGTGATGTTGATAAAGAAGAAGCCAAAGGCGCAGAAGTAGTTTGTGATGTTCATCACAGCCCTCTTCACATGGTGGACTTCCGTCTTCTCATTTTCATCGGCTCCACTCTTTAGCACAAGTCGCTGGGTAGCGATCATCCGCTCGCGCTCGTTTAAGAACCAGCATTCTTGTGGGCTGCGAGGCATGAGGAAGGGCGCTCCAAGGCCGACGAGTACGGTAAAAAGTCCTTCGAAGAAAAAGATATTACGCCAGGTATGGATGATCATGCCCGAAGCTCCCCATGGCGGAATGCGAGCAAGACTGTCACTGAGTCAGAACCTCGAAATGTTAGAAAATCTGTGGCAAACTTACACAGTGGCGAGTAGTCCACCAAAAGCTCCAGCCATGGAGGCTGCAGAAACGTAAATACCGATGCGGAACAGGAGCTCGTTGCGCTTGTAAAAGCATGTGATGAAGAATGCAAGTCCACTATGCAGCGATCGTTAGAAAATGCTAGGTGCAGTACGAGAAAATACTTACGGCATTACACCGCCTTCAAAGACCCCTAGAAAAGCTCTTGCAACTAGCAATCCTCCAAAGTTATGCACAAAAGCGCTGCAGAGTGATACCAAGCCAAATCCGCACACAAGAAGCGGCAAATAGTACTTTGGGCCGAGTTTCTTCAGAAGAATGTTGCTGGGTACTTCGACAAACATGTAAACAATGTAGAATATCGAAGTCACCCAGTTGAAGCGGACACCCACGAGGTTCAAGTCCTCGGCCATACCCTGAATGCGTGCATTTCCAACGTTTACACTATAAAGGTAGTCAGCAAACAGCTTTTGTGTGTAGTGAAACGGTCCGTACCGATCAAGAAAGCATAGCAGATATAGAAAGGTAGTGAGCGGCACGATCACTCGATCCAGTTTGCGTCGGACCTTCTTCTCTTCCTCGGGCGTCCAGGTAAACTCGCCATCAGTAGACCGGTCGCTTCCGTTGGCCTCTTCAACTACCAAACTTGTTAACGTTTGACTAAAGCAAGACTGCCCAAAAACATACAAAGAACATTATCTCCCTTCTCCATCTCAGCAGGGGTGCGATTCAGACGTGTCCCCATCGATGCCAGTCCCATTTGTGCCATTTTGATGAAGCTGGATTCCGAGGTCGAGATTCAGAGTCAGCGAGGCGAAATCTCTTCGTCGTTGTGCTGTAGCCCCACACGTTCCGTAAGTCTGGGGAAAGGAATCTGGGGAAGAGCACAGCCCATATAAGAACGTAGGATGCGTCCCGATACCCGATTAGCTCACTTGTCGCACAACCGTGTATTGGGGCGCAAGTCGAGAGCCAGGAAAGAGGAATCGGCAGTTACTTCGCAGCCTCCAGAGGAAAGGAATACAGCGCCATATCTAGCTCGATGTCCGCTCCACTACGCTCTTATCCTGTTCAAGCTGGCGGCTTGATTGAACAGGGTGCGAAGTCGGTGCGGAAATTTTACCGAGTCGACACAGGAGCCCTACACAACGCCGCATAATTGTTAACGGCCTCCTCTTTGGCTGGTGTGTTGCGGGGCTCTTTCTTGGCCGACATGGGATTGACTCGTGGAGCATGCGAGTGTGGCGGGAAGATGCATTCATTGTGGTCATTTTGAAACGCCATGCTTGGCGAAGCGGGACGAGAACTTTGGCGTTGCTAGCAGCTCACAACGGGTTTCGGCAGTTCTTCTCTCTCTTTTCAAAGCTTCTCAAACATGCTAAGATGTCGCAGTTACAGGAGTCGTCCTTGGGTCAGACTAATTTCGACTGGGCGGACTGCGGTCAGATTACGGGCGTACCTACTGTGCAGGAGGACTTTACCCACAGGCTCTTCTGGACAAGCCGTACATGAACAATTCTTCTCCCGCCAGCCCGAACAGGTGGATTAGTATTTGCTGCATATCTGCACATATGCACAGCAGCACTGCGTGCGGTGTATATTACTCAGGTGTTCGGTATGTTTTCGTGTAGTAATCGGGGACATCCAGCAGCGGTGCCTCTGGCTTTCTTATACCACACGTCATAATATGCCGATGCGCATGGATAGTAAGGCCCCTGCGACCTCGGAATTCACCCGATTCCTTCGACAGCGTCTGTGTTGTATACTGGTTTCCTTGTCTGTCCATGGGCGACGCAATATCGCATTCTACTAATGCGTCCGGAGCAAGTCGATATTTCTGAACTTCTCAGTGTGAGCGTGCGCGATAGGGTCACTCAAGTGGGCCACCTGCATGCTCGCATCTAGACTGTTCCGGCTCGGTTCAGAGTAGTGGCTGCGACATGTGACCAGTCTGCTATATCGATAGAGAACGAGGTTACAGAAACGTGCGCGATAGTCCTCGGTAACAGAAGCTCTCTATAGAAAAGGTGAAGTGAGACGAGTGTTGGCGGCATGGAACAAGAAGCTAGGGTCCAGCAGTCACCGCCACGTGGATGGAATCTTGGAAGGTAGGGTACGAGCTATCGACCTAGAAAAACGGCCACTTCGAAGATGAATATGATGTTGCATCAACACCATACAGGATACCGAACTTTTTGCAGAATCTCGTCTCAACGGCACGTTGTGTCCACGACCTACGACTCCACAGTTTCAACGCAATGACAACCGCTTCCCCTCATAACCCCATAAATCTCCACAGCCGCGCACCGGGAGGAATGTCCCTTCTCAGCAGCACTATCTCTGGCGTCCCCATCTCGTATCCACCAACTCCTTGATCACCTCTCTAAGCCCATCCGGTCTTCCCGACGTGTCACTTAGATCTACCCTTGGAGTCGACGATAGCTGTGTGGGCGTTTGTGGCTTCTCCGGCTTTACATTCGGTACCTGCTGCGTCACGGCAGTCGCCTCGAACGTATGAATATCCTCGGTTGCGGCTACTTAGTCCCGTGACCGCTCCTGAGCATCGCCTCGAGAATCTGAGCATCGGCAACGTCAGCTCTCCCTGCCTCGCCGGATTGCTCTCCTCTATCCACAATGCTACTTTGCGGTACGATCAAGCGACGATTCTGAGACCCGGCTTATATAATGCTGTTTTCTTGCAGATCGATTTCTTCCTCGGAATCCTATTCATTGTGCTTTAGGAAAGCTGTGCGTAACTTCCTCCCAGAGCTAGAAGATTACAATATCTGCAGCTGTGGTCTATTCGTCGATTTCTCACATCAACTCACTCTGTCTGTGGGTTCATTTCTCACTTGTCTTCAGTCGTCGTGCTCTATTCATGCATGCCTGGTCTCGTCCATTCACCCTCTCGATTTATGCGCTATTTGAGCTTCGGCAGCATGATCTTTAGTCAATCGTGTGTAGGGTTCGATATCTTTGTTTCGACCTTGCGAGTGCAAATGAACGTCATGGTAAAGTATATGTGGGTACAAACATTCATGCATACTGGTCTTGAGCCTTTCCCCAGTTAGGGTCACTCTTCCTACATTGAGCCTTCTGTCCTTTTCTGTCACGTTCCTGGCCAATACGACGTACTAGGAGGTATTTACATGAGTAGTGCTTTGTTTTGTTACCCTCTTCAGTCTCTTTGCATCTCTCATCATTGGAGATGAAATTGCTCCTGGCCTTATGATTACAATCGTACTAAGCTGCGAGACTAATGCACATAACTGGCGATACGATCTGATGCTTGGAATCATTGGCGAATCTACGCTGCAACCAAGATATATACGACACCCATGGCCTCATACACAGACCTTGAATCAATACTCGACAATGATTAAGGACACGTCAAAGGTGTGTCGCTAATAGAGCATTGAAAGCACCAGTACTACTATGTGAAGCATTATCATCATAGCCGACAGTGTGTCGTTCAGAAAAAATTTACTACAGGTTTTAGTATAAAATCTTGGTGTTTGCTTCGCCGTCCTTGTCCATGCTCCGTACATCATCTGTGCATAGCCACCACTGAGCGTTTTTCTGACATACTCAGCTGCCAACTCCCTGAATGAGCCCAAGATGTGCACAACATACCGTGTGTACTTCTATTGTGGACACCTCAAATCCACGACTACTCACGAACACTCCGGGGTCGAATGCACACTCAACGAAGCAAGAAGCATTACAATCAACAAGAAGTGCAAGCGCTGCATAACACGAACGTCACAGCGAAATGTACGACTGAACGGTATCTTGGATGGCGCAGAAGTACCATCGATAGTCAAAGCCGGAGACGAAGGTGCTAATACTGGCAATGATTAGTATTATGGATGTGTGGATGCCTGAGTCGACGTGCCTCACAGTCCGGTGTTTTACAAAAGGCTACGGGTGGTACAGGTGGTGCGTTGGATCCTATAATCGGATTTTTTTTTGAATTCGAGTCAAGATCTTACATCTTGTATTTACCAAGATATTGCCATACCTGCACTACAACATGCCTGACTCCTCTAAATTGCCCAATCCACATAAGTGTGTCGTCTTGGGTGGAGTACCTGTATAGTCAAGAGAGAAGTCTGGCGGCAATGCTGTAGTGATGTAAACTCAGCTTGCAAACATTCATATCTCTTTCAGTCTCAACAACAATTACAGCACATAAGTGACAAGCACGCGTTGTCTATTACACCAAGCGCACAACGCCTTCATCTCCTCTTTGTGTTGTATTGAGGGCATCAAGACCGGCCAGTGGATAGCGCTTGTGTCGCCGTTATCCAAACAATTGTAGCCGGCGTTACCTCTACACCACTCTGTCTATCTGCACCAGCGTCCTCGTCGCAGCTGTTCACAGCACGAACATGGGCTAGAGTTGTACACAGCTATCTGCGTTCATTTTTGTCTGCGAGGACGGCGTCCTTCCACCGTGACGCCTTTGATGACCTGAAGTATCATGTCTGATGGTGAATAGCCGTGAGTTCCCGGGGCCTTGGAAGGGGCAGGCGCAAATGTTGCTATCAACTCGCGACAGGATCCCGACGCATACAGAATGACCTAATGATATGTCTCTACGCGTGCTGGGAACGGCTCTTAAACTCGAAGATTATGCGGAAGAGGGCGAAGGGTTGAGGACGTATGTTGCGAAGGGCGCTGGGCAGGAAGAGCGGCGGGAGCGAATAATCATGTCTTGGAGGGGGGACGCGAGGAGGAGATATAGCCGCCATAAGACATGCCCTCGTACAAGTGGCAGGTGGAATGCGCGTATGTGACAGCGACGTGTAGAACGCAAGACTGCCTCGCAGGATCCGATGCGCGGCCGCTTAGGGCCGGCTACTATCGATAAGTTCCGACGGATGTTCCGATGAACTCACCACTCTAATCCAAAGCCGCCCTCTGACTTGGATACTGCGCTGTTCAGGCCACATTACAACCATATCACGACACATCTCATCTCCCATCAATATGGCCAAAGTTGAGGGCGCGCCAGCACACGGTGCTGTAGCCCACCTCCTACCACAAACGTACAAGCGATTGGTCTCGGAATGGCTCGAGGAGGACACACCGAGCTTCGATTATGGTGGCTTCGTTGTGGGCGAGGAAATATCTGAGGCGAAATTGCTAGGGAAAAGTGAAGTGAGTGTCAGCACCCTTCGTGGTGGTCTTAGCTAACATTGGCAGGGCATAGTTGCAGGCGTCCCCTTCTTCGATGAAGTCTTCCGGCAACTGGGCTGCACGTGCGTCTATCATAGTGACTCACATTGTCAGATCTGGTATTGACGTTTGATAGTGTGGAATGGCACGTCAAAGAAGGTGCCTCTTTCCAACCTGTAACTCACTGCGCCACGGTACGCGGCCCTGTCCGCCACCTCCTTCTCGGTGAGCGAGTGGCTCTCAATACGCTCGCCCGTTGCTCCGGTATCGCCACCAAGTCTAATCGTCTACTTACCCTTCTACGTGGAGCTGGCTACCCAAATATTCTCGCCGGTACCAGGAAAACTACACCAGGTTTCCGACTCGTGGAAAAGTATGGCATGCTAGTGGGTGGTGTGGATGCGCATCGAGTTGACCTGAGCGCGATGACGATGCTGAAAGACAACCACATCGTCGCTGCAGGAAGCATCACCAACGCCGTAAGAGCTGCTAAAGCGGCGGGTGGTTTCGCAATCAAAGTTGAAGTCGAATGCCAATCATTCGACGAAGCAGATGAGGCTATCGCCGCTGGTGCTGACATCGTCATGTTGGACAACTTCACTCCTGAGGGTGTTCAGGTCGCTGCCAAAGACCTGAAAGACAAATGGGGGCGAGGTACTGGAGATAGGAAACAATTCCTTGTCGAAGTAAGCGGTGGGCTTACGGAATACAACGTCGAAAAGTATGTCTGTGGGGATATTGACATTGTAAGTACAAGCAGCATACACCAAGGAGTACCTCATGTGGACTTCAGCTTGAAAATTGTACCGAAGAGTAAGAAAGACGGTGGGGAAAGCTTAGCAGTATGATCAGAAGGTAGGTAGATATCAAATGTGAGTACGTATTTGGCATCTTGACTCTTGAGAACCGGCTGATTGACATGGACCGTGATGACAGCTATGAGAAGCCTTGAGAAATCCGCCGACTTATCTGCAATTTCTGCTCTAATACATTTCAATCACATTAGCGCTTCCAGGCGCAGCTGCTATGCACACATCGTGTCTACCATCGATCTCATTTCACATTCACATTCACCTTCACTTCTACCACTGACCTCAAAACTCATGAACGATCTTAAATATAGCGAATGGAGACCGGAATGACCCTGTTATTGTTCGCCTATATGACAAAGAAGAATGAGGAAGCTAGGGGGCAATAGACTGTTGTGCGACTGTGAGTCCAACAGCTACAGCGTTTCATTTTACCATCACAATGTCTCTTGCAGACCAACTGTAGACCACGTGCTATACTTCACGTCCATCTTCCTATCACGCAATATTAATCCCTTCAGTGGGATATAATCTTTCTTGCACCGCAAACCACGTTAGCTTTCTGAAACGCACACCTCAATCATTGCCATCCGCTTCTGCAGGACAGACGCAAAGACATGCGCTCAAGAATACTCATTACTACGGTGCTGGCCGCCCTGAGCAACGCCCACGAAGATCACCAGAGTGAAGGCGGGCAGTACACACTGACCGACGACCTCACTTACAAAAAGTTCTTCTCCGCCTTTGACTTTTTCGACGGCCCAGATCCAACCAAGGGTTTCGTCAAGTACCAGAACCAGGAGAATGCGATCAAGCAAGGTCTAGTTGGCTACCTCGAGGATACACAGTCCGTGTTCATGGGCGTTGATTACACGACCAAGGACACTGCTGGCCGCGCTTCCGTTCGCCTTGAGAGCAAAAAAAGCTGGAACCATGGCCTGCTCGTAGCGGACATCCGCCATAGTGAGTATTCCCTTACAAACTGCATGTGAGACATACACTGACTTCGTATGATCGTCTCTAGTGCCCGCCTCTCAATGTGGGTCTTGGCCGGCCTTTTGGCTTTTGTCGTCCTCGGCAGACTGGCCCCAGGGTGGGGAAGTGGACATCCTCGAGGGCGTGAACGACTACGAAAGTAACTCTGTTACCTTGCATACAACCACGGGTTGCATGGTTGATAACTCGACATCAGCAGGAGGAGGATCTGGTGTAGCCGGCGATATCGAAGCGGCACCATTCACTGGTCTTATGTCTACAGACGATTGCGATGTTGCTGCACCAGGTCAGCTCAAGAACGTCGGATGCTCTATTCATGCTCCCGAAATCATGTCTGGTATCCAAACTGGTGGTAGCGGTAACACTGACACCGGCGGTGCTGTGCCTCTTCCCTCGTACGGAACGGAATTTAACAAAGCTCAAGGCGGTGTCTACGCTATGGAATGGAGCACCATTGGAATCTCGGTTTGGTTCTTTCCTCGTGAATCTCACGGCTTCACTGAAAATTTCTCTTCAAACACAACCCTTCCCGACCCATCTCGCTGGGGCACACCTATAGCCCACTTCAGCGGTTCCGGTTGCGACTTCTCTGAGCGCTTCCGAGATCTTAAAATCATCTTTAATATCGCTTTTTGCGGTGAATGGGCAGGCGCTGAGCGGGACAAGTCTTGTGCCAAAAAGACTGGGGTTGCAACCTGTAATCAGTATGTTCGCGATAATCCTGAGGTATTTAAGGAGGCATACTGGGAGGTTGCTGGGTTGAAATGGTTCCAGAAGGGTGCTACGCAGAAGCGTGCTTATACTCCGGTGACAAATTTCAAGGCGCAAAGTGAGTAGTTTGCTTGTTAGCTTGGTAGGTGACTCTCTATCACACTTCGCCTAGAAATCTCACATACACTTTTCACGACTGGTTCTACGTCACATAATTCGATAGTTTATACCTGATATCGTGTGCAATACCACAGTCGATTGATGGGCTTCCGCGATCCCTCAGATGGTATACCTGAACCTGGGACTATCGTCACCCATCTCAGCAATATCCTCCTCAGCCATTCCCTCGACCAAATGCTCTTCCTCGCCCTTCTCACGTCTCGAGTTGATACGTCCAAGTTGAAACCACATAACAGCGTAGCATATACAAGCAAAACCCACCATGGCCATAGTAATTCCATGGCCCTTGATAAAGCGAGGTCGATCCGCTGTAGGATATATCTGGTTTTCGTTAGTGTACGGTTCATAGACAGTCTAGGAGCTGAAGAGAAACTTACAAAAGCACTCATGATGCCCGCACAATTACCAATACTCAACTGCAATCCCGTTGCGGTTGTCCTCTTTCCGTATCGCGGCAGATTCGTAGGAAGCCAAGCCAATGGCAAACCAACACAAACATACAGTCCCATCGCGACGAGGAAACAACCCGCGTAGTGAACGCCAGAGCTCGCATCGCTGATCAATATGGCGTATCCAACAATACTAACCACGCCAAGCAAGATACTGTAGAATCCGCGCTTTTGCTGTTTGTCCGAGAAACGCGCAACAACCAGGTACGTAATCGCACCCAGTGCGTAACACGGAATAGTAAGGACTTGTATCATCGCGCTGCTAGCGGTGGTGTTGATCGACCTGATAATAGTCGGCAAGAAAGTAGAGTAACCGTAAAGCATGGTATCACTCCCGAACTGTGCGAAGCAGAATACCCAGACCTTCCAGTCCTTGACGCACTTCCTCACATCGTCCCAATGGAACTCTGCTGCTTTCTTGGTGTACCCAGTTTGGCGCTTGAGACGAGCTGCAGCAAAAGCCTTCTCCTCGGCAGTGAAGAAATAGGCCGTTTCTGGGGTATTGGGAAGAATGAACCAGGTTGCGATACCTAGGGCAAAAGTAGGAATTCCTTCTAATATCATGATCCAGCGCCATCCACGCAGACCGGCTGTGCCGTCCATGTGCCCAATTGCATAGGCAAGGAGACCACCGCATGCTCCAGCAAGCGCAGCGGAGACGAAGAGGTATCCGATGCGCAGGGCGAGTTCGCGTTTGGTGTAGAAAAACGTCAGGTAAACGGCCATTCCAGGGAACAGACCTCCTTCAACAGCACCAAGGAGCAGACGACATGCGATCAAGCCACCGTAGCTCTGTACGATACCAGTCAAGGTCGCGATGATACCCCACGCGACGGTGATGAATGCTATCCATCGCGAAGGCGTGAGTTTCTTCAAGACCAAATTCGACGGCACCTCAGAGAGAATGTATGTTACGAAGAGAATCGAAACTGCGGTCTGAAACTGAGAATCGTCCATATTAAGGTCTTCCTGTAGACCATAGAGTCGCGCATTGCCGATGTTGACTCTGTAGTCGCGTTAGTGGGCTTCTCGAGCGAGTCATCAACTTCCAAATTCCAAATCCATCAGAAATTGTGTTTCTTCGTCCCTATGCTCCAGTCGAAAAAGCAGTGTAACAAGCAAGAAAATCCTAAAACTGACCGATCGAGGAAACTGAGCAAATACAGCAGCATTACCACCGGGATAACGAAAAGATCAAGCTTGCGAACAATTTTTGCTTCGAAAACTGGATCAACACTTTCCAGCTGTGTGCCCAATTCATCGCTCTCTTTCTCAGCATCTGGCACCGCTGGGTCGTACTGTTTCTCGATATCGCTCATGGTGTCGTTACGCGTTCGCGTCTAGTTCCTCGGAGAATTAAAACGACGATGATCGATGATTCGACGCGAGGGGAGGCCTGTCGCGTTGACTTTGCAGTTGCAAAGCGTTGTTTGAGGAAAGTATGATGAACGAGTGGCAGCGTCCCGTGTATTATCGCGTCTAGCCAAAGGGCTGATATGTCATCCTGTCGCACTCCAACGTTTTGCCACGAAAGGGAAATGCTCATGCTTTAAATTTGTCGGCTTCGACATCGGACGAGTCTGCAAGGGCCCACTACTGGACGACAATGCCGGCGGGCAGATCTATGGCGGGGGCTGGAGCCAATGGAGCACAGAGCTAGCTGTTTGTGGTATGACGTTGACGGCTACCCTACCTGTAACACAGATATGGCCGCTGGGCAACTGATAACGAACCACACGTTTCCCTGGTTCGATTTTTGCCAATTTTCCAAGGTTGGGGGAGATGTCAGACGAAAGATGGGGGTGCTCGCGTGCCTCTTGCGTGAGGTGGTGTAGACAGTTGTCTTCCTGCTTTGACGTCTCCATCGCATTAGCCCGCTGTCAAGTATCGCTTAGGCAATGCGATTAGTCCTTAGTCGTACGTTCAACCAAACAAACAATGTAGCAGGAGCTGGAGACGTGATTGCATCATATCGCGCATTGTTGTGCAGATCAACGCTGATCTGGAAACAGCTTCTTTAATACCAGCTCATCATCTATTGAAGCTATTCAAGCGGAGATTTGTGTTCGTAACCAAATAGGCCTCTTTACACCAGCTCAGACGACGTCAACGATGAATAGCTAAAAGACGTTGCATCCCAATCGATAGGAAGCACGATACCAGAGTAGATATCGATCTGCGCCGAAGGATTAACTGGCCACACCAATTCATCACGCGCCAAGTCGATCTCACCTCCCGCATATTCCGCATCCATGGCCACGGTATTCTGGGTGCAGGTACCGGCAATACACGACCGTGCAATAGCCCGAACCTCCTTTGCCATCTTCTTTCCGAGAGGCCAGAGAGTCGCCATTGTGTTGACGAAGCCGATACTCAGACGGACACGATCCCGTCCGATCGACAGCGCATGTCCATCCAATATGTAAGTGCACGCTGACACTTGTACGGCAGCGAGTTGTGAGGTGATGCACATGGTGAAGATGTTATGCTTTTCGAGGGCGCATGGGATTGCAAGGAGATTGGTGTGGATCTCTGTCGCTTTGAGTACACGTGCGGTATGTGCATTTCGTCCAGCTTTTGGTGTAAGTGTGAAGGGAGAAGGTGCTTGGAAAGCTTGCGTAGTCATCTCCTCAGGACAGTATCCCAGTGACGAGAAAGGCCGATGCAGCGCAGAGATAGTTCTGCCTTGGTCAGTATATCGATAGTAACACATGAAGGGGTCACCTACATTGCAGCACACATGTGTGCCATAAACCTAGAACAAGTACTATCAGCTACCATCCTTGAGTTACATTTGCTGGCTGTATAGCATACATCACCTCATCTACTTGGCCGTTTAGTCGAAGTGGATCCTTCTTGCAAGCTGGAAGCAACGATGACCAGATCGCGAGTTTCGTGTCGCAGTTCTCGACCAGGACCTCGTTTACTACAGCAGTGTCGAGAAAAGTATTCATGACTGATATGGTCAGCTCCTAAGCCACGGCCATTCTCTGTCATTAGATGAGGTAGGTGACTGTTGCCTATCAAGCGTGCTTACCAAAAGCGATGACCATGGCAATGTCATAAAGATACACTATTGACGAGTAGATCACTTCAATCTCTGCAAACTCACGAACTTGGTACTCAGACCATGTCGCTATAGGCGGTATGTTCTGCTCATATTAGCCTATCGACCATGATGTCATGCCATTCCAACGTACTCCTGATTCAAAACACTCATCATCACACGGTAAATCAACCGTGTTTGGTATCAGAAGCAACGAATAGAAGGGCGTATTTGTGACGACGGCGAGATGCTGATCCACGATGTAAAGGATATAATACGTCCGTCTCCAACACTCTTCCAGCACTGAATCGTTCTCACCGTACGCTCGAGCAAAGTCTCTTTCGTTCATATGAAGTTCCAGTGCCATGGCGGTACATGTGCTGAGTTTCTTACGAGCTTCGACTCTATTATCGCAATGGAACTCGGCAAGAGCGAAAAGCATTAGCGCCTGCACATTGAACGGCGTACGCGTAAGGTTCGGTGATGTAATGGCCTCCAGAGCTGTCATATAGTAGGGCTCTGATGGTGTCCAGGGCGCGTAGATTGAGCCGATCCATTCTAAGACAGATAGAAGGGTGGTTATCCCATGGTTGTCTTGTAGACGCCTCGACTGTAGGTAATGCAAAGGCAGGACGATTGGGAAGGGAGGCCAGAAGTATTCGAAATATAACTCTAACAGTCGATTTTTGTCGACTTTAAATGCCACATGATTGTGTTGGTTCTGAGAGGGCACGACTGGTATGGAATCATCTGCTGAGCTGCTAGTGGGCGTCCCTAGACTCGATTGATCAGATGACGATATTGCCGATGTTTTGTGCTCTTCACTGAAACAATCATCGCGTTGGGTCGCTGAACGCTGTGGATTCCTAGCCTCCTGTTGCAGTCGCAAGCGTCGTTCCGCAAGTGCAGCCTTATTCAAGCCTCCTCTTCTGGATTTCTGATAGACACATTCTTTCCCGTCGCGCCTGCACCTACTGCAAACTGGTTGTGTAGAGTCGCATTTTACGTGTCTACTGCGACACTGTACGCATGCCAGCACTACCCGGTCGATGCGTTTCGAATCGGACGATGATTCCATCCTCGGGCGAAGATGACGCGAAGGCTGCTACAGGGTCTTGATTGTAGTTTGGAGCAATGTCATAAACAACCACCCTGCACGGCAGTGCGATGAGAAAATCAAAAGTCTTTCCAGTACCAAACTTGATACGAAGGGACAAAGAGGTAAGCACCATTCTCAAGGCTTACCGAACTGGCTGTACACTGTGACACCTTTCCAAGCTGGAGGCCGCGCCTGCCGAGGCGGCAAGGGTCAGGCGTGCATTTGGGGGCCGGTCCTTGGGGCCTTAGCATAACCAAAAGTCGTGAGTACGTGCTGGTAGTGGTTAACAAGTATGATCACATATGGCACGGCACGTAGGTTCAGCTATGCAACACGTAAAGTGCCGTCATTATCTCCGTACATTCGCAAGCCTTTCTACCCTACCATAAACTAGAAATAATTGCACTAATAAGTCCACATGCAGCCTTCATGATACGACAGGCCAACGTAGCAACATCCAAATCGGGTCTCAATGCCAAACATGTAATCATATGCGTTCCAGACCTGACGGGCATAATCCGTACCAGCTGGGGATTGTCGCTTTTCCATCGTGTATCTATAATTGAAGGTGAGAAAGCAGTGGGGACAAGCTGCGAGCCTATCGCAGCTTGCCATGTTCCTGGGCCTCTTTGACTTGTTCAAAGACCTGCAATATCATGTTAGCTGTCTGGACTCTGCAATCTCAGATCATGTGGTATCGCATACCTTTAGCATCTTTCTACGCGCACCGAGAGCGTTGACGCCACGCTTCTCCAAGCCTTCGTCATCGAGCTCGATAAGCTCCTGCCACTTGAGATCCTTCAGGTTATCTGTATACTTGTGCAAGCGGAGACTCCGAAGCCAGTTGGGAATGTCCGAAAGCAGTCCAGGGTCGGTAGGGTCCTCCGGAGGCTTCGAGCTGCCGCGACGGCCTCGGGGAGATCGACCGCGATCAATGTTGTCACCAAGGAAGCCATGGCCATCATTGCTGCCGCCAGCAAGGCCGAACTGAGCGAGGTTCAACGCGCCCATGCCGTTGTTCATCATACCACCACCGTAGTCGGCAGCCAAGAATCCGTTGGCCTGAGGCGAGGTAAAGTTACCCATGGCACCCATACCCTGGCCCTGCATCGCGAAGCCAGGGGAGCTAGGGCGAGATCGGCGACCTTGCATAGCGGCCAATTGTTGGGCCTGAAGAGCAGCCGCCTGTTGTGGGGTCAGTACCTGACCCAGCTCATTGGTCATGAGGATATTTCCATTGCCCATCTGAGGCATGCCAGGGGACATGGGCCCGTTGTCCGAAGACCGGGCACGGCGGAACTTGCGCACATCATCCAGCTGGATGCGATTGTTAACAGTGGACAGGGCAGCCAATTTCATAGCAGTGGCGTTGGCTACCATATCAGCCTGGTTGTTAGACTGTTGGAAGTTGGCGACCATGGGAGTGCTCAATTGAGAGGCCCAGCTTCCACCTGGGGCGTAAGAGGGCGAAAGAAGTGGCATGTTGGAAGAGTTGGCCTCGAGCGCGTTCAGTGTAGTGGTCTGCACATTGTTGCTATCGTTCTGGAGAGGGAGGCGAGGCGAGCGGAGACCGGCAGATGGAGGTGGTTGAGAGAACTGGCCCATTGGCGGCTGCTGGTGTTGCTGCTGGCCAGAAGACTTGGGGCGATTCGCGCTCTCGTTCCAGGGTGATGCTGGCGGAGCATTGTTCTCCCTCTTGTTATCTTCGGGAGCAGAGATGGTGGGAGCTGCCAGGGAGCTGCGGTCTCCGACGGTGCTATTGCGGTTGGACGCCGGCGCAACGCCGACCACATCGGTGAATTCAGCCTTCTGCTTGGCGATAGCAGCCGCGGCGTCCGGGAACATGCGGTTGATCTGGGATGTCTCCAAGCCCGAGTTGCGTTTTCCAGCACCCGGGGATGGCGGAGGACGACCGAGACCCATGGAATGACGGTTTTCACCCGTGCTGAGCTTGCTCATGGCATCGCTCAGCTTCTGTGTCATGGGATCTGGCGCATGTCAGCATGGGGAGGACGTTGGAGAAGTTATCTGACTTACCCTTCTCTCCAAAATTGGCAGGGGACAGAACTCCGGACATGGGCACATTCTTGGACATCTGCTGCAAGACTTGGATAAAGAAGCGAATCTGCACCTGCGTCGTCTGCTGCAGCAGAGCATAGAGCGCTGCAGTTCTCTCGGCCTCGCTGAGGACGCGGAACCACTGCTCTATAGCGCTCAGCTCGTCCTTGAAGTCCTGGTCGAGGGTCGCGGTCGCCATCTCTTCGAGTGTGGTTTCATACTGGTCGATGTCGGCGAGCCACTGCTGAGCAGCGCGTTCCATTTCGTCCGGGTTACCCGACTGTGTGTTGTTGCGACCAAAGTAGATTTCGGAAGCGGGACGAATACCACGGTTGGCGAGAGGGGAGGGGAAGCCGCCTAGATCAGCGGAGGCACGGAGATGGTGGTTGGCACCGAGGGAGCTTCGGGCCTGGGGTGGGCGGAGCGAGCTGGAACCCTCGGGGGTGCTGTTCCTGTTCGCAGCTATATGGCTGGCAGACATGGCGGCGGTGGGCGTGGGAAACCGTGGGTTCAGTGGGGAGGTTGAAATTCTGGCCTCTGGTCAGTATGGTTCGGGCGGATACAAGTGATGGCATGCCGGATGCTGGCAGACGTACAGTGTGGGTAGCCGAGTACACGGGTGGTGGTAGTAATGTGTGCACACGAGTCCTGCAGTCCCAGCTGTGCCTCAAAGGACGTCGAGTTGCGAAATATCAGGGGAGTTCCAGTTTCGCGGGAGGGCTGATGGGTGCAGGGGATGCGCTTGGCCGGGATGCACAGGCAAGCAGCGCAACAAGAAGAAACGGCGTAATATATCAAGGTACAGAGAAGGGAAACGTCAGCGAGAGAGAGGTGGAAGAGCGGAAGAGCTCACTGCAAGACGTGAAGGGGGAGGACGGTGTCAAGGTCTCATCGCTCGAAAAGGCGTTGGTTTGTTGCTAGCGCGCAGCCAATCACGGAACCCTGCGTCAAGGCTGAGGCAATGGCTCGATTGTTCTAGCGCTGGTGCTCACCTGTTACAGACAGATGGGGCAGACATGCCTACAAGCTGTCTGCTTGCATGCCTTTGGTCGTCATCTCCGACTGTCTTAGCGATGCAGCTTGTCATGGCTGCCTGTGAATCCCACGAGCGTCTGTGGAACATATCTCCGCACACCAGCACCACTCCACTCCACACACCCACCGAACGACATGGCACCTTTGCTGTTTCGAGCCAGTGCAAACGCTCAGACACACACTCGTTAGCAGCCACTCCATGCTAGGCCGTCAGCAACAGAAGCATACGTAGCGCACCCTTTCTGTAACAGCTTCTCTGCCGTGTCCTACTGCTTATTGGCGAGCCGCGCCGTCAAACGCCCCGAGAAACAAAAGAAATTCTTCCCGAGACGCGTTCATGCACCGACTGTAGCTAAAGTTAGTCGTTCGGAACCACGGCCACAGAGGTCGTGCGTCTTCAAGTCGTGTTCCATCATTACAGGAGTGTCGTCGATGCCTGACTGGGGTCCACTTATTGCCTGATCAGCCATCCGATGCTCGGCAGGTACATGCACTAACGGTAGAAGCTACATGCCCTAGAGAGCACTACTCCAAGCATGTCTGATAGAGACATTTACTACATACTACTTGTCATAATAGAAAATCGCACCAAGACGAGCAATGTTGCCCAATTGAGATTTAGCCTTCGATGACATTTGAACTATTTTCCTCACAACACCCACCAAATGCTCCTCGTGGTAACCGTCAATCGTGGTCAACCAGTATTCAGAAGCGACTCGTCCGAAGCGCTTGATTGGTGGAGGAGCCCTCATCCGTAGTTGAATGTGTTGAGTCAAAGTGCAAAGTACCGCTAAAGCTCCTATTGTACTTGCACAGCGCACGGTCGTCCATGTTTGGTCAGTCGGGCTTATCATGTCCCATGATGTCGAGAATCTCTTCAGCATCCATTGCCTGCTGCCAGATGTGGTCAACCTCTGGGTTCACGGATGATCACGTTGTGGAGTTACGGGTCTAAGGCGGTATCTTGAACGGAGGCTGATAAACAGGTGTTCTCGTAATGACAGGGAAAAGGTAGACATTCCTGGAGATACTGATGCTAAGGCAGGTAAGATTGTCTCAGCCATCGTGATAACGCTCTCAGCCGGAACATCCACGGCAAGAGGCTGCTTGTTGTTCAATAGCATGTCGCCAGGCGAAGATGGCGTATTCCATTCCTGCTCTTCTGATTCCTGCTCTTCTAGGTTAATCTCATCGTCATAGCTGCTGTTATAGTCGTGATCGCTGTCGCTGTCGTTGGGAGACATAACTGTAAGAGCGCCAGGCTAGAAGTCGCGAGGCACAAGTCTGCCTTCTCCAGAGATCCACTAATCTGAATCGTCATGAATTATACCCCGGAAGTAATCCCAAGTCCCATTCGCCGACCATTAGTTCTTACTGTTATGCGTAACCGGACAGGACAATCCTTGTGAAGGATCCAGGACGATTCCTGCTGTAGATAATATTGTCAATTTTCGTGGTGGATGCAAAACTTTTCTTGGTTGCAATGGGTATCTTCTTATTTTACATCTGCCGTACTCCGGTCTCATGACGACGCCGCCGCTTGTTGCGATTGCTGTGCCGCCGACTGTATCTGGATAATCTGACTCATTTGTTAACATTACAAGCAGCAAGACGCATTCAGAAAGCATACCTCGCCCTTGATCTTCTCGCTCTTGTCCTGTATTCCCTGGATCTGCTTCTCGATATCCTTGCTGCTTCCAGTCAGAAAAGAACCTCTTCCGTCTCAATCAGTCCACCTACATCTGCTTGTCGATGAATTCGAGGCGGCCATTAACCGACATGACGGCCTCTGTCTTGTCCTGCTTCAACAGTACTGGTCCGATCTGCTTGTAGATGTTCGCATCGTCGTCGAGTATGTCAAATTCCTGTCGTGGCAGCGATAAGTACGGGTTCCGACCTCGTGTGCGTAGAGTCCCACCTTCTTGACCGTACTGTTCTCCTGCTGTTGTGATTCGAGCTTCTGGCGTGCTTCTACTGCAGTTCCGAGCTCTGTTCCGAGATTAACCAACGAATTCGTAAGCAGAGCGAATGCCTTACCGGCCTGGAGGCCCTGGTAGCTGTCAGATAGTGCCTGGAGCTTCTTTTGCACGTCTGCCATGGCTTTGGTGATGCTGAGTAACGCGTTACAGAAAGTTGGCCCCAGTCTTGTTCGGAAGTCGCGAGTGGGATGCTGAACTTTCTCAATGCAGTTAGAAGTAACGCGGGGCTAGGTAGGTGCCTTGGCCGTACCTAGAACGACGGTCACCTCCAGCGCTCTTGTGTACGACTGCAAGCCCGGTTTCGACAAGCCGATTCCGAGTCACTTTCCGCTCAAGAACCGTCGCCCTCAGCTGCCTTCTCCTTCCTTGCCTCACACAGTCGCCCCGACCTCGCGAAACCATAGGCAAACAACACGCGATTGCCCCACTCAGATCGCCCTTCGCCGCTCGTACAATCATCCTTCACAACTCAAGCGGCGCGCGCCCCAGGATTCACGCTCGCTGAAGCCTCCACGAATCTTCCATCTTAGCTATGAGTAACGCCGACTTTCTCGGCCGGGCCATCGAGACGGTCAAAAAGGCAATTGAGACGGACACGGCAGGAGAATATGAGAAGGCATATCAGCTGTACTACAGCGCTCGTCAGTAGCCTCATGTATAGCCCATATGAACTTGTGCGCTGACTCCTTACGCAGTTGAGCTTTTCATGCTCGCTCTCAAATGTACTGTGACCGTCCTTACGGAACCGACAGTGATGCTAATACTCAGCAGGGGAGAAGAACCAGAAGTCCAAGGACATGATCCGCGGCAAGGTGGCCGAGTACATGGAGCGCGCAGAGAAGCTCAAGCAGCATCTGAATCAAAATGACGCCTCGAATCGCAAGAAGCCAGCAGCTATGGGATCCAATGGCAAATCAGCAGGCGGAAGTGGAAAAGGCGGAGGGTATGCATTCCCTCCGCACACAAAAAGCACCAATTCCCACACTAACTTCTAATAGTGACGAGGATGAGGGCGAACAAGACGCCGACTCCAAAAAGCTCCGCGGTGCGCTCGCAGGCGCCATTCTTTCCGAGAAGCCCAATATTCGATGGGAAGACGTAGCAGGTCTGGAGATGGCGAAAGAAGCACTCAAGGAAGCTGTCATATTACCCATCAAGTTTCCGCATCTGTTTACTGGGAAGCGACAACCATGGAAGGGCATATTACTCTATGGGCCCCCTGGTACGGGTAAGAGTTACCTGGCAAAAGCGGTCGCTACCGAGGCGAATAGCACATTCTTTAGTGTCTCCAGTTCCGATCTCGTCAGCAAGTGGATGGGTGAATCAGAACGGTGGGTCAAAACAACATGTGTTGATGCGAAACGGCAACTGACACTATACCAGACTCGTAAAACAACTCTTTGGCATGGCTCGCGAGAACAAGCCTTCGATTATCTTTATCGATGAAATTGACGCCCTCTGCGGACCTCGAGGTGAAGGAGAGTCGGAAGCATCGCGACGTATCAAGACGGAACTGCTAGTGCAGATGGACGGTGTAGGCAAGGATTCCAAGGGCGTGCTCATTCTCGGCGCAACCAATATCCCCTGGCAACTCGACTCTGCCATTCGACGACGATTCCAGCGCCGAGTCCATATTTCACTGCCAGACACCCCTGCCAGGATGAGGATGTTTGAGCTCGCAGTCGGTAATACGCCTTGCGAGCTGAATCAAGCCGATTACAAGAAGCTGGCGGAGCTCAGCGAAGGGTATTCTGGATCTGATATTTCCATTGCAGTACAAGACGCGCTCATGCAGCCTATACGACTGATCCAGACGGCGACACACTACAAGCCTGTCCAGGTAGACGGTCAAACAAAGTGGACACCGTGCTCACCTGGCGACCCACAAGCGGAGGAGAAGTCATGGACAGACCTGGATGGCGATCAATTGCTTGAGCCGCCTCTCAAGGTCAAGGATTTTGTCAAGGCAATCAAGGCTTCAAGACCGACTGTTAGTGGCGAGGATTTGAAGCGCAGCGCCGAGTGGACAAAGGAGTTTGGTAGTGAGGGCGCGTAGCTGGGCTGTTGTTGTCTAAAGACGGTGCTATATACTTTCGAGGCGCTTTTGGTGTTTATATCCCCTTCTAGCATAGCGATTCCAGGCCGTAGATGGACCGGCCGGCGTTGATGCTTCAAATACACGATCAACTTGAGCTGTTCTTCCTTGACTATTTTGCCAACTACATTTATCCTAATCCAGCCTCGTTTTGATAGTCGTTGGGAAGAATCAGCATACTGCAATGGATCACCATGGTACATGATACAGGCTGTTAAGTAATGGTAATTTACTTATTTACACTAAGCCAGACCAGCCGAGTCTAATCGATAGCATAATCGGAGTGGATGAGGGGATGAAGGGGAAACATTTGGGGGGAATCTGTGTGAAACAACCTGACCTAACCTAACCAAAACAAGCATCCCGCCGCAAAAACAATGCCATTCCACACTTCGCCAGCCTTAGGAATCATGACGAGGCTCAGAGATCCTCACGGCATTTCCTTGCATCGTGTCTTCATGCTAGTGTGCTCATGTCACAATTCCAAATCGAACGCCGCTCATGCATCGTGTCCCATGTGAATTTTTCTCCACAAGTCCGTAAAGTTGATCGTCCGAGAATGGCCTACTCAACCTCTAGCTAAAGTAGGCTTGCGCGGTACGCTGCTGCTCCGGTGTCAGAGTCGCTGCAGCTTGACCGAGATCGGTGCTAGTCGCCTGAATGAGCGCCTTGACGGATGCGACGACGCGGTTCGCGGTCTGCCCTTGCAGAGTCTCGGCCTCGAGAGCTTGCACAACGTAGTTGAACACCTTTGCGGGCTGGGAGAATACGGCTTGGTTTTGCCTGTTTAAAAGTTAGCGAAGTTCCCTTGCGTATCCTGTCTGACGCGTAGACGTACTGTTCAATCAGCTGGGACAAGAAGGCATACGCGTATGGCGTAGCCTCCTCGTCGTTAGTAATTGGAAGGGTGTCGATCCAGGCTGCAGCCACGCTATCCCAATTGGCGACCTTGCTTGCGTTGTAGTGTAGGATCTTGGCGATCGCAGCCGATGCATTCTCTGTCGCAAAGATATCGTCGTCCGCGCGGGCATTGGGCCTCTGTGTAACCTGGAAAAGTGTCTCTAGGGAAGCAGCAACAAATTCTGACCAGTTCTCTCCACCCTTGTGAGCTGCGACACCAACACCATATACTGCCGCCTGGCGATTAGCAGGAACATCGTCTTGCATACCGTCAATCAGGGGTTGGATGATTTGGTCTTTGTATTGCCACGACTCTGGGCCGCAGAACTCCAGCACATCGTCGTAGATGCAAATCGCCCATTGGCGTTGAGTAGGGTCGGGGTTGACAACAGCCATGCTGTAGAACTCGATCAAACCTGCCCAGTGAGGCAAGAACGATGTACCCATGGTCTTGAAAATGCTGTGGAATGCCTTGTTCATGTCTGATAAAAGGTTTTGGTCATCTTCGATCGCGAAGAGAATATCTTCCGAGGCTTCCTCACCATCTTCGTTTTCGGCTTGCTCCTCTAGACGTTCTTTGACGCGGATGTTGTAGTCTTGAAGCACAGTCCTAGCGGACTCGATGAAGGTGGTCATGTGTGCATCCGACAAGCAGTTGCGGCCGATGCACTCGAGGCACTCGTAGAAGCACTGGTACATCTCGGCAAGAGTGTCAATGGCAGGCTCAGTGCTGAGAACTTCAAGGACGCGCTCGACAGTACGTCCCCAGAGTGCACCCAGCTCTGCCGATTCGGGACCGTGGGCCTTCTTGTATGCATTCAACAATGCCGGGACACATTTGGCGGAAGCGACTCGTACGGGGTCGTGGAAGAAGAAAGCTAGACCTGGAAGGGCAATCTTCTCCATGATATCGTTCACGTAGGGCTCGAAAGCATCCTCTAGCACTTGCGCGTAGATTACGATGAGCTCGATAGCCATGTGCTTGTCATCGAGGATGCTGGTCTTGATTCCAATAACCTTGCCCTTGAGCGGAACCAATTCCCAGCCTTCTTCATCTTGGATCTGAGCAACCTGTTCCTCGTCATCAAGCAGCTGAATGTCAGCCTTGGCTCCAGCAAGCTCGGTCAGTGGCGGGATGACACCGGCAAGGAAAGGAACAAACTCCCGTCCTAGCACACGACACATGCGGCCCCAGCAGTGAAGCAGGTATGAGGCTTGCGGGTCATCAGCCTCGGAGACGCTGTTTTGAATCCGGCCAAGCAGTTGTACAAGGTTGAGCGCGTCCTGGCCCATACGGTCCTTTCCGACAGCCAGAGCAATGAGAGTTGCGCACTCCATAGCCTTGGCACGAAGAAGTCTGTATTCCTTCGACTGTTCCTCTTGTAGAACGTTGAATAGAAGAGGCATAAGGGTATCGTAGTACTTGGAAAAGGCAGCCTCTGCAGAATCCGCAACAGTGGCAATGGTAGACAATGCTTGTTCCTGCACAAAGCGCTTAGGGCTCTGCAAAAGCATGAGCAAATGGTTAAGCAGCTGGTCAAGATATGGCTCAAGGATGTCCTTCTCAGCCTCTTCGCAGAAGTTGACGAGAGCGGCAGCAGCGTGCGCTTGCACACGAGGCTCTGAAGATTCCAGGACTGGGATGATGTTTGGCAGGACGACCTGATGGTACTTCTCCTGCATGGTACCAGCAAAGTCGGTCGACATCTGGCCGACGGCGTTGCAGGCAGCCCATCGCACACGAGGATGGGGGTCTCGGAGCGCTGGCAGGACGAGATCCAGCACCTTGTCTAGCTCGCCAACCATCAATTCACGGCATCCCTCAGAGATGGCTGATATAGCCATGAGAGCTGCGTGTCTGTCGCGCCACGCTGAAGAGGTCATCATGCGAGGTAGCCAGTTGAAAGTCGGGGGAAGAATGGCTTGTCCGCCAAGCTTGTTTGCCAACCTATCCATGCACTGCTCTCCCGCGACATGATTTGAATCAGATTCTTCGTCCAAGTCTTCAGAAACATTCCATTCTTCAGCGTCATCGTCATCGGCACCAACGTCGGTCATCAGAGACAGACATTGGGTGACCATGTCGTTGGTGAAGTTGGCATCCTTCTTGCACATGAGAGGAGCGTTATCGGCGAACGTGGCCATGAGTTCCAAGGCGTTCTGTCGGGCCGTCTCTCCCAAATCCTTGTCCTGAATAACGGAGATGCTGAACTGGACGAGGCTGTTGAACAGAGGCTTGAACATCTTGGGCGCGACTTCAGCAAGATCGATGAGCGAGACGAGGGCCTTGGAGAGGAGCTCTGCATCGCCAGAGTCCTTAATGGGTGGCAGAATGTTGAGAATCTCTCCGATGAGAGAGTAGTACTTGGACTGGGCCTTCTTGGTGATGGAGCGAAAGAAGGACGCGAAGGCTTCAACGGATGCGATGCGGACCTGTGAGGTGTAAGCTGAGCATGACCATGTGCATGTGGGAAGCGTACCGATGTCTCGCTGTCGGCAAAGCCGCCCTTGAAGGCAGTCATGACCACATCTTCGTGCTGCTTCTCGATGATCTGCGGGGTTGTCGAGAATATCCTGAAGGCGTTCTCGCGTTGCGCGGGGTCTGCGGACTGGCTGGCCTGGAACAATGCGCCCAGTAGCTCCGGCCATGCAACGCCTAGGTGGTTTTAGACATGTTTGTGTGAGATGTGCCGTTTCCTCGTACCTTCATCTGTGTGCTGGCGAGCGAGCTCGGCTACGGCATCTCCAACCTTTGTGCGTACTGAGTTGTCGGTCTCATTGGCGAGGCACTGGAGGAGCTTTGCGCGTATGGCTTCGCGCTCGGGGGCATTGAGGGTCAGGAAGAGGTCGGCCGTCTGACCAGAGGGCGCCTTTCGTGGTTTCGACGACTGTCGCCTAAAGATGACGGCGGCGAATGTCCGTGTCTAACATGGCTTGTAAGCTAAGATGCACGATTTGCACCGGATCAACGGCGTACTGAGGTGTCTTGGGCCAGCTCAATCTGCTCCGAGAGGCCCATCAAGAGCACTTCGGGCCTCTGGGCAACCCATTCGTCGTTCAACTGCTGCTCGGCGGCTGTACGCTGAACATTATCGGGCGACTGGAGACCCTGCAGCAGGGTGGCCAGCGCGGTGTGCACCTCGGCAGGGAGGACAGACATGTCGTATGCGTGTGTTTGTCGTGTGTATCGTGGGGTGCGGCCCCGGTTCGGTGTGTTGTTGTTCGCAACGGAGTGAGGTCGCTTGGTCGGTAGTGCCTGCGGAGCGCGTGTGACGTGGTGTTTCTAGAGTCGCGCCCCTACTGCCGTCGAAATGTGCAGAAGCAGCGTGTGCTATCTTACAGACGTCCGTCGGCGGCTGAATCTGGGGCTTTGTGTGGTCTGATTTGGGGGGGGGGGGTTGCCGTAGAAATAATTTCATTCACCAACTGTTTTGGCGGGGCTGGCTTCGCGAATCCGCCTGTCCAAAAAAACAAGGGTGCGTGGAGAGTGCAACCCCACCATGCCATTGGCTATTGTGCCTTCTCACCGACTGTACGTGACTGAGTGCAAGCCGACCCTTGCAGCCTGCAACAACACTAACAGTACTCGTGTCTATATCAAGAGGCACTTGGAGACTCGACCTTGACACGGGCTGTCTTGCACTTCCTTATTCTGCGCTGTTGTAGGCTGTAGGGTAGTAGTCTGTCTAGTCTCTACGGCTGCGTGCATGACCTCTTTGCAGAGAGGCAGCTTCGTGCAAGACTAGATGCAAAGCGCAAGCAGTATGCACCAGACAGTGTCCGCCCGAGTAGCAGTGACGTGAGCTAGGTGTTTAGGCCTGGTAGCCTGCCATGTGCACATTTCCCATGTTGACTGTCAAGTCAAAGAGGGAGTAGCGGTCTGGCCCCGGCGCTTGCTCCCTCGCGTTGTTTTCCGTACCCTGGCAACCACGTCGACATCCGATTTCCCTTTCCCCCACCTGCCAGCAAACTGCTTTTTGACCAGGAGCTTGGTTCGTAAGCCCACGCCATGTCGCATACCGGTACCATGCGGGGGACGCCCAAGCCCTCGAACCGCAACCAGCCCCAGCAATTCCCCCACAGCCCATCGGGGATTCCACGACCAGCTCTCGAGACTCATGCCTCTCACGTTGCCCAGAGCGAAGCGGGCGGCTCTGGGCTCAGCGCCAGCCGCGCGAAGATGTCGAAGCGCGACGACGTAAGCTGCCCTGCTTGCCATGGACAACCACATACTCATCTCGTGTTTAGGCCATTCGCCGAAAGATCGAAACCGACCTGAACAAGAAGAAGAACCCCAGCGGCCGAGTGCGACCCTCCAAGAAAGCCCCGCCTGGCACTGTCCTCGCCCTGAAGCCCTCCCCCGCGCTCCAGATCAAGCCCTCTACCTCAGTCGCCGAGGCGGCTCAATTGATGGCAGCTAAACGAGAAGATTGCGTGCTGGTGACCGATGACGATGAACGCATAGCAGGTATCTTCACTGCTAAGGACCTGGCCTTCCGTGTCGTTGGCGCTGGAATCAAGGCTCGCGATGTCACCATCGAAGAGATCATGACCAAGAACCCCCTCTGCGCAAAGACCGATACGAGTGCGACCGATGCTCTGGATCTGATGGTCAGGAAGGGCTTTCGTCATCTTCCAGTCATGGACGAGAACCACGACATTTCGGGTATCTTGGATATTACCAAATGTTTCTACGACGCCATGGAGAAGTTGGAGCGCGCCTACAGCTCTTCGCGCAAGTTGTACGATGCTCTAGAGGGTGTCCAGGCGGAGATGGGCTCCAGCCAGCCGCAACAGATCATCCAGTACGTCGAGGCTATTCGTCAGAAGATGTCTGGGCCTACACTCGAGTCTGTTTTGACGGGACTCCCACCCACCACTGTTTCTGTGCGCACCTCCGTCAAGGAAGCTGCGTCACTGATGAAGGAGAACCATACCACGGCCGTCCTGGTACAGGACAACGGATCCATCACCGGTATCTTCACCAGCAAGGATGTCGTCCTCCGCGTTATTGCCGCAGGGCTCGACCCCATGACTTGCAGTGTTGTACGAGTAATGACACCTCATCCTGACTTTGCGCCCATGGACATGAGCATCCAGTCTGCTCTCCGCAAGATGCATGGTAAGTATTCCAAATGCTGAGTGAGCTGAGTAACCGCTAATGTTCTGCAGATGGGCATTATCTCAACCTACCCGTGATGAGCGACGCTGGAGAAATCGTTGGTATGGTCGATGTTCTCAAACTAACCTATGCTACTCTCGATCAGGTATGTCGGGCTGTTCAGTGAAAAAGTATTTGTGCTGACTCTTCCAAGATCAACAACATCAGCACAACGGACAGTGAAGGCCCCGCGTGGAATAAGTTCTGGTTGTCTCTGGACAACGAGACTGAGTCGATGATGTCAGGCGAGGGTGGAAGCCGTGTCCATGACCACCGCTCGTACCTCTCACACAACGACCGCCCTGGCCTCATGGATCGCGGCGATAGTGTGCTACCCAACGAGTCTGCTTCTCATCATGGCGGTGACTCACCAGACCCGTCCGCTGTCGCCAGTATTCCACCGTCCCACATGGAGGACATGCCATTCCCTTTCAAGTTCAAGGCGCCAAGTGGTCGCGTCCACCGTCTGCAGGTAGTCGTATCTGCAGGCATCGAAGAGCTTATCCACAATGTAGCCAACAAGCTCGGTAGCGAGGTCGAAGCCATAGGAGGCACACCGAGCTTCGAAGACGGCAAAGTTTCTCGCGGTGGTTTCGCCCTTAGCTATCTTGACAACGAGGGTGATACCATCTCCATCACCACCAACGACGATTTGGTCGAAGCTGTCAGCCTATCCCGTATGGCGCATCGCGAGAAGGTTGACCTTTTCGTACACCACCCCGACAAGGCCCCAATGTCTGCCGAGGTCAATCCACAACCTGCGCTACCCAAGCCCGTTACACCACCTGAGTCTACTCTTCGCGAGCGCAAGCAGTTCTTCGATGAGGACGACGAAAAGCCTAGATCGAGAGGCCGGAATCAACCAGTACCTCTCTCGCAACAGCCGGAGATCATTGCTGGTGTTCCAAATGACCTTCTCCTACCTGGAGCTATCGGTGTACTAGCCGTAGTTATCGTTGGTGTCTTTGTTCTTGGTCGCGCTAGTCGGTAAGGTGGACGTGGGGTAATATGTGTTGGAGTAAGAGCGAGAGTGAATTGTTTCTTTTGTAAGAATCTGATATCCCATAGATCCCTGGGTATTTCCTAGCTGTTTTGGTAGTCAAATTGAATACATTTTACTTCCACTAATGTACAACTTTGTTCAAGTAGAAGTGTGATAGATTGACGGATGGCCTGGCTACATAGGCAGTACAGTAGTGGATATGGAAGGCACCAATAACGATACATGAGATGCCTCCTTCTTCAAACTTGACATGTTGTAGCATATGATCAACATGTGGCTTCATCAGGTGGAAGGTTCTCATAACCTCTGCCCTGGAAACACGAGATTTCCATTGCATTTTATTTCAGATAATACAACTGAACATCACAACCTGCCGACTGTTCAAAGGTAATCAAGAGCATGCCTGCTAATTCAAACGAAGAATATGTCAGATTATTGCAGAGGCAATACACTGTGCAACCTACAATGGTACAGCACTTCCGAACACAAACATCCAGACAGTAATTTACGCTCCGATCTCATCTTTCCGTGAATACATCGTTTCTGTTGTGTGTTGTTGTTGCAGCAGAGGTTACGAGTGCTCTTACGCTGTATGTGGCTAGCGCGCGGCGCGCCAAGCTCACTCGCTTCTGAATATTCGCATTGTGCGTGCCGACTTCACGACTCCGACGTCAAGGACGAACCTCACGACAACCACCCCACTGCTGACTTTTAGATAACACATCTTCAGTACGCACTCCCGTACCTCGTCAACGCACACTCCCGCTTACAAAACTCGATAGAATCAGCCGCAAACATGGTCAAGAAGCGCGCGTCCAACGGTCGTAACAAGAAGGGCCGCGGCCACGTCAAGCCCATCCGCTGCTCCAACTGCTCGCGATGCACACCCAAGGACAAGGCAATCAAGAGATTCACCATCCGCAACATGGTCGAGTCCGCCGCCATCCGTACGTCTCACGATCGCTCTGACGTTGCGCCGAACACGACAGATAGCGAAGCGGCGACTTCAGGGCATTGAGGACTAACAACACACAGGTGATATCTCCGATGCCTCCGTCTTCCCCGAGTACACTGTCCCCAAGATGTACCTGAAGCTCCAGTACTGCGTCTCCTGCGCTATCCACGGCAAGATCGTCCGGTACGTTCAGCCCGCACAAGGATTCGGATGAACTCGTTTCTAACACACTGGCAGTGTCCGCTCCCGTGAAGGCCGCCGCAACCGTGCTCCTCCCCCACGTGTCAGGTACAACAAGGACGGAAAGAAGATCAACCCCAACCAGGCCGCTGCTAAGACTACTACTGCTTAAGTAGCGTGTGGTTCGAAAAGGGAATGATCATGGCGCTTGGTGTGGGGTCTTAGGGTTCTTTCGGAATGTCATACTGGAAAATGCATGAATCCAGAAGAAGGGACAGGCCAAATGACGAAATCATGGTTGAAGCTTGCTCGGGAAAGCCTGCATAAGCAGCACCGAGAGCTAGCTATGAACTTGTAGACGAATATCCAAGTCGACTTGCACCACCTTGCGTCCATGTTGGTGATTTTACTGGGTATTAAATGCTCGTACAGCTGGCTGACTGCGGGGCTTATATGCTGTTCACTTACGACATGAGCAGCACGTGTTGTTGCAAGCGTGGGATATAAGACGTGAAGAACTGCAACATCCAGTGCTTCGTTACTCCAGCCCAAGTGCAACTTTCATTATGCACGTCATACAGTGTCATCATTTCAGTCATTTCGCTTCTTCCCCTCACCCAAATCACCTCCATCGTCAAGACTCTTTTTCCCACTCACGGGCTCCGGTTCAGTAGTGTCCCAGTCTTCCGCATTCTCGTCCCATGTTTCAAGTTCTTCGTCAACAGTGGATCGGATGACACCGGACTCCTGCCCCTCCACATTCTCACCCAGCTCAATGTCTCGTTCCTCGTCCCCGGCAACGGCTGTATATCCGCGTGCAGCTCTCTTTCGCTCGAGCATGCGCTTGTGGTACCAATTACAAAGGCCGAGAGCGAGGAGCGAACCGAGGACGTTGGCTACGATGTCGTAATAATCGAAGTCCCGATGAATCTTTGAACAAGTTAGTTTTGTGCAATTCGACCCATGGCCATGTGCTTGAGCCGTTTCTTCTCGGACGCATCTTGACTTACAGGCAACAAGCCTTGCACAACTTCACTAGCAATCCCCAGACCAATCGTGCACACCGTGAAGGTGAGCTGTAAGACTTTCCTTCGACTCGTCTCTAGTATCCAGTAGAAGCATAGTGTGAGAAGGAAGAAGGCGAGAAAATGTAGTGCTTTGTCGGATTGCTTGTACGAGGGGATCTTGTAGTCGGGCGGGGAAAACCCGGCGCCGGCGCTGATGAAGATCAGGGCTACGAAAGCGCCTGTGGACGCGTCAGCTTGGTGTTGTATGAGAGCTGCGAGCAAGTCGAAGAGGAATGCCTGTTGATTGCTCGGGCGCAGTGCCTCAAGCTCTCTCTGACGTATGGAACGAGTTCGTGCTACCTACCAGCAAACGGCTTCCGTATGCGCATCGTGTGGTCGTTTGGCTGCGGCTATAAGCGCTCAGGGAACATAATCAAGTCGTGGGGACAGAGCGCTGCTATGGGTGGGCGGCTGGAGCTACCGAGCGTTGCTATGCTGCCACAAGCTGGCATCTGGCGGAACTGGCTTGCAGACACGGGCTAACCTATCATGGTATCATGCCTGTCGATCACGTGTGGAACCTGTGAAAATCGACAACCTAGGAAACTGCGGGTAGACCCAGGTCGCAGCTCCGAGTCCTGGTACCTGACGCTATCTCTGCTGGCTTGCATTTTGAGGTTGATCTCAGCATTGCGATTAAGGAAATGCGGGGGCTTCCCCAGGGACATGAGTATGAAGAAGCTCGTATTTCGTGAGCTGCATCAAAGTCGACTGCGACTCAAAGGGGTTATGCCGTTCTATGCATTTGTACAGCTGCAAAATACGATGCACAGAACATTTTCAGGGTAGGTTCGGCTGGTCGAGAGTTGGAAAAGACGGGCTCCTTGGTCAAGAACGTGACCCAGATACGCCCAGGGAGCACAGTCCATGCCATCGGCGCCATGTCAGCGTGTGCAAGGCCACTGGAGGCGACGATGGAGCATGTCAGGCGCGCACAGAATGAATTATCATGCTGGAAAATGCTGCCGACACGTAGGCGCTGGGGTCAAGGGTTCTGATATTGGGATGTGGGTGATTCATGGGGTTCGTTGCGGGAGTCGAGGTGCTAACGCTAAGGCGTGCCTGGAGAAGGGATAGGTCAACCTGCAACTATCGACTTTAAACCAACGACCAAACTCACAGGCCGCATCTTTGGCCATCAAGACGCGAGCCCACAGCACCCCTTTCCATCTCGCAGTCATCAGAAATCGACTCGCACGCCGTAGACTCTTCTCACATGCTTGATTTTATCGCGTTGCGACACCTGGAAGACGGTCGCCCTGCTGGCGGGCCATCCCCGTGAGGCCGCGAACCGCCAAGACCACCCCCCACAACCCACGACGACGACTATGTCGTTCAGTGCGTCTCCATATCCGCCATCATCGCGAGAACGCCCAAGTCATAGCCGCTCTCTCCATCAACCGCCTAATGCGACCCGTTTGCGGACTCCCAATGCGCTGAACGATGAGGCCATGTCAAACCACAACGCGAACAACTTCGGGGATGGGGGAGACATCGCCGCGGAGGAAGATCCTCGGGCGGCGCGTTGGCGCGAACACTACCTACGCACCGAAGCGCGTCTGGCTTCAGTGCTCGGTGGCACATACGAAGGCGATGCTGTTGATGCCCTGGACAATGAGGCGTCATCCGGTGATGCTCCGGCGCATGACGCGCGACCAGCCATCACCCCGAAGAAGCTAACCCGCACCATCGACGAGGACGACTACGGCGATGACGAAGACGATGAAGACGACGACGATACCCGCACCTCTCCCTTACACACGAAAGGCTCAGCCAATGGCCTTGCTGCTGCCGCTCCCAGCACGCCAAGCCTTCTCCGCGTACCCTCTATATCGAACAAGTCAGGTCACGACCGGACTGGGACACCTTCTTCGGACCACACAAAGACATCAGATGATGTGCGCAAGAAGCTGCAACAAGATAAAAAGGCAGCCGAGGATGCTGCAAAGCGGAGCTTCCAGACCATGTTCTACCCATTGGAGAGCGATCGTGACGCGATGCTGGAACAGCAGAAGCTTGACGAGCTCGACCGCCAAGTGGAGATAGAAACATCTGGAACGCCTGCGAATGCACCGCCCAACAGCGCCGTCGTCGCCCCTCAGCAGGGCACTTTGAGCACCACCAACCTTGGGGCGTCTAGCCTTACTCTCAAGCACCTCATCTCCCGCATCGATGCGCAAAGAGACAGAGTCCATGCGACAGACGCGCAGCTACGAAGCCTCATCAGCGAAGTCCGTAAGAATAGGAGTAAATGGGCAAACGAAGATCGGGTCGGCCAGGAGGAGCTCTACGAGAGCACGGAGAAGGTCCTCATGGAACTCAAGGCAAACGAACATGCCCATCCCTTCCTTCAGCGCGTCAACAAACGAGAGGCCCCAGATTACTACAATGTGATCAAACACCCCATGGACATTGGCACAATGATGAAGAAGCTCAAGCAGCTACAGTACAAATCCAAGAAGGAGTTCGTGGAAGACCTCATGCTTATATGGTCGAACTGTCTGAAGTACAACGCAGACCCAAGCCATTTCCTCCGGAAAAAGGCCTTGCATATGAAGAAGGAAACAGAGAAGCTCGTACCTCTCATTCCTGATATTACCGTTCGTGATCGCGCCGAGGTCGAGGCTGAGGAGCGGAGAATGCGTAATGGCGATGCAGACGCTGATGGCGCTGATGACAGCGAAGATGAGGAACCTATCATGGCTTCACGGGGTAGAAAGGCACCAAGCAAAGGAGGCAAAGGCTCAAACGCGGCACGGAAGGCCCCTCCAGCCGGTCTGGAAGATACGCCGGGCCCAGAAACGAAGCCACCAGTTCCGTCTCTTAACAACGCAGTATCCAACCTGAAGAATGAGTTTCTACGAGCGGATTCTGAAATGGAAGGGAGCGTCAATGGTTTCTCAACACCTCCGCCACCCGGTGCATTGACACCATTAGGGCCAAACAGCATCTCGCGGAACGGCGTGAATGGCAGTCAAGCCGACGTATCGGAAGCCGACGGCACTGGTGTTTCAGTCAGCGATGCTTTGGAAGAGGATGCCGATCTCGACGACCTGGAATACAAAACCTGGAAACAAGTGACGAAGAAAGATCGAGCAATCATCGCGTCAGAGAGGCACAGATTGTTCCGTGACGACCATCTACAACCAGATGAACCTGCCATTCTGCGCACTAAAGCTGGCATGAGAAGATGGTTACGACACCGAAAGCAGGCTATCGAAGAAGAGTCTGCTGGTGGAGCTGTTTCTGCGCCGGACGGCAAAGACGGCGTTCAGGCCACAGCTGGCGAATCACTTGCCGAAGGCATTGAAGGGGAAGAAGAGCGTCAGATTCCTGATTACTACGACCCTGTGTGCACCATTCCTGACCTTTCTGAGCGCCTGCAATGGGTCGAGGACGCTGAAGGTTATGTTATTCCACAAGCGGAAGAGTACATGCGTATCTTGCCGAAAGGACAGTTCATTTCCCCAGACAGTGCGCTCGTGCACAAGTTCGATGGTAACAACCACATACTGCAAGAAACCAGGAAAATTTGTGCAAAGATTGGCATCGTCAAACAGATGCAGATTCAGTCACAGGTAGGTCTTTCTCCAGATTCTGTAGGAGTACAACCACTGACCCTTTTAGTTATACCAAAACCAGTTCCAGAGATATGAGCCACAGCCTTTTCACGAGGCAGACATTGAGCCAATAGTCACGTCTGAGGATGGGCCGATCATGGCTCCTTATGTCTGTCGTGCTGCTTTGCAGCGCAGCGTTGGCAAGGTCTTCTATCATGCTGGATTCGAAGAGTTTCAACCATCCGCTCTTGACGCCGTGACTGATATTGCGGCAAAATTCTTCCAAAATCTTGTTGCAAGCCTGGGAATCTACCGCGAGACGCCAAAGATGAAGTCGGACACACCGATTATCCTTCCCAACGGCCAGGCTACAAACTGGGCACCGCGTTTCACCCAGGAGGAAGCCGTGCTTCATTCTTTGCATGCTAATGGCGTCGATCTTGAGTCACTGGAAACTTATGTCAAAGACGATGTCGAAAGGCTTGGTACAAAGCTCGGTGGTATGCATGATAGGATGAAATCGTACTACACTGAACTTCTGCGACCAGCTATGGACAACGCTGGCGCTGACGGTGCCGGTGCCTTCAATGACGGTAGCGAGCAGTTCGTGGGAGGTGACTTCGCCGAAGACATCGGCGAAGACTTCTTTGGTTTCAAAGAGCTTGGTCTCGACATCGAGTTCGGACTCACATCTAGTGTGCCGTTACATTTGCTGCAAAACAGGGTGCATAATGCGTATGCCAGACAGGATAACAGGTACGTTGGGCGAAATGCTTCCACAAGGGTCCCGCTAATTTACTCAGCAACATCGCAACTACTGGCGTCATCATGCCTGAACCGTCAAAATTCGAGCCCGTTACCGTACAGACCGCTGAAAACCAGATTGGTCTTCTCCAGAACTGGCTCCTCAGCAAACTTCATGACAACAATAGTCAGCCGCTTGTTGAAGATGACGATCTCCCCCCGAAGCAGCGATTCCCCAAACCCCGTTTGCCACCTACGGGCAAGATCTCCAGTCCCCGGAAACGTCCTCTCCGAGAGCAGCAACAAATGGCTCGTAAGAAGCGCAAGCTAGATGAGGAGAAGGACGAAAACAGCAACGATCAAGCTGGGTTCATGAAGGGCATTGGCAAGCCCATTGGAAAATTGAAGCTTGAGCCAGTGCAGAGAGAAAACCACAGCGTACAAGAGCCGGAGAAGGAGGATGGTAGCGCCCATGGAATGCCGAGCCCACCCGAGTCTTTCTAGTGACATACTGCTGGCTGACCACCGCGACTGGATTTATTCTGCCAGTCGCCTTCTATAATTCCGACTTCTCACCATGTATTGTAGGTGACAGGAGGTCGTCTTTCGCAATCATTGTTTAATTCATCGAGATATCTTTATTCTTTTCGCGCTTTTCATGACGGCTTTGGGCCTACACTATCACTTTTCTGTCTGCACAGAGCATGCTAATCTTACGCGCGATTTTTTTTTTCTTCATTTCCTTCGCTCACCATCTTTCTGCGGGAGCAAATTTGTCTTATTACATTGAAAAGGCGGAGGGGTTGTCCTTGTATACCCAACTTTGCATCTTGCGCAGTGGCTTTCTGCGTGGTTTTACGATCGCATGTTTGCGACATCAGGTTGGACTCATGATGGGTTAGTTTTGGACTTGGGGCTTCGTGCATTCCTCTTTGTATATACCAGATCCATGGGTTTGAGAAGATTGTCATGGTATCTATGGGTCGCCCATAGTATTTCAATGCTATTCATGGAGTATGACCATGCTATTAGTCTCTGTTTCGTGTGTGACATGAATAGCATATCGCTACCGAGATGATATAGTTGTTCATCGTGAGGTATGCGGTAGAAACTTGGTTGTCAGTGTGATATGTGATGACGGTTCTCACACGGCAGTCGAACACTACCCTACTTGTCGCAGTGTGGTCGCCAGGATATTAACATGATACTACAGTATCATTGCGCGCAGACAAACACAATCGACCTTAGCACTTGTAACATGAACAACAGACTAGCAAGTCGTCAGCTCGCAGGTCTCTGAGCATGCGTCTCTCTTCTACGCTCATCATACTTCCACTAGCTACGGAGCTGAGCTGTAGTGCGATGTTGACATCAAGCACATGGCATCTGAAAGATATACGCAAGCCTTTCTAAGATTTACAAGAGCTATCCTAGCGATTGACGGCTTCGTGCGGTACCGAACAATTTTATGTTCGCAGAAATTCGCGTTGATAGAGAAGATGTCATCACCACCGCATAGAGCACTTGCCCGAAGCACATAAGTGCAGAAAAAAAGGTAGAGCTGAACATGGTAAACTTAAGTATCCAATAACATGCCATCGAGCCTTTGGCTTTACGATGCCTGTTGAGGAGTGAAACTAAAGTTGTTGATATACCTCGATCCGATAAGTGGTCGAGCTGAAATTGGAGGTTATTAGCGCACCTTCTTTTCCCTTTTGCGCGGACCCTCCATTCCCACTTTCCACATCTCCACCTTAGAGCGACGTCTGCATCACGATTTGACTCAAGTTTCAATTGAAGCCAATTGCTTATTTTCGGTAAGAAGTTTGCCACCGCCCGCTTCATCGCAATTGGCGACGTTGCTGATTCTGAGCTAACGTGCCACGAGACGTGGATCATCTCGGATGGACTTGGATCTCTTCTGTCACTTCACGACACCGACTTTCCTCACGACACTCGTCAACCTCGCGCGCATCTCCTCGCGCCACTTCATTTCATACTTTTAATCGGCACAGATTTCTATCGCGCATTTCTGGGTCAGCATCATTAGCGCGCGTCAATTTCTTTCATCTGTTCTTGCGCTTCTTACAGCTGCTCAACCCTGGCTACCATTGAGACTTTTTGTGTCTATCATGGCCCCGAACGGCCACCAGGCACCTGCAAAGAAGGGTATTCACAAGTCTAGCGACAGCTCGTCCGTTTTTTGGGAGGACAAGCATGGCCATCGCGAGTTCATGGATTGGAAAGAAGCAAATCAGAACGGTCCTTTTCCTTCGTACGAAGAATGGGTAGAGTCTCAAAAAAAGTCAGGTGGTCTCTCATTGTACTACACAGCTTTGCGCATGTTTGAGGATTCTGATTCAACTGTGAGTTATTGTCACGATGAATCAAAATCTGTCCTTTACTGAATGCACCAGGACGAGGAGGCCCCACCCGTTAAGGCCAAACCTCAAGTAGCCAAGGCTCGTGGTCAAGTTGGCCGCCCCAAGAAGACTGCAAGTACAAATGGCAATGGATTGTCGCGCACGGCTGAGTCTGCGACATCGACTGCCGTCGCCAACTCGGAAGACTTTAGTCCTTCTGGCAAGAAGAGGCGTAAGGCGCGTAAGAAGCCACTCGTGAGTAACACCCGCTGAGCTTTTGTCTATTAGCTGACTGTATAAGTCCGAGGAGGTCGTCGCTTCAGCGAGCGACAGTGAAGTCGTCAAAGACGTTGGAGCATCGGCGCCCGTGGCTGAGACTGCGACGCCCACAGCACCGATGATCACCTTCAATGGGCAGCGCAAGTCTTCCACACGCAAAGCAAGGAAGAAGCCTATTGTGAGTTTCACTATGTACACGCCTTCTACTCCACGCTGACGTATCTAGTCGGAGGAGACCATTTCGCCAGATGACGAGCTAGAGGACCCGATGGAAACTACGATCGATGAGGTCTCTGCATCTGCGATTGCATCTCCTCTTCCAGTTCGATCTGGTATGTGAATTTCTAAAACTATGTGGAAGATTGATTGCCCGATTCGTGTAGTCCTGTCACGTTTGCCAGAACCCTACTGGGCCGAAACCTCATGATGATTTGAAACGAAATCTTGCTTGAATATTCTGTTGTGATTGAGCTAAACCTTTCACAGCTCCGAAATCGCCAGCCCCAGTACCGACTTCAGACTCGCCGAAGAAAAGCCATATCTTGAAACTGAGCACCAGGAAAACACCGAAGAAGAAGAACTTCGTGAGTGTGTTCTCCGAGACACCGGTACATTTTGCTAATATGGTCAAGCCTGAGGGGTCTACCACTGAAGGTGGAGCTGTAGTTGAAGAAGATCCCACTCAAGCTACGCCTAGCGATACCGTGAGTGTAGCTGAGGCAGGCATCATTGTCAACACAAACGTCACACCAAAAGTCAATGGAAAGATAGCCCAAGATACAGACTCTACTGCAGCTTCTCCAGATCCGACTACCGCATCAGCAGGCTCCACCCGACGTGGTCTTCGCACAAGAAAGCCTGCACAACAGAGACCATACTATCACGATTCGCAGTTGTTTGAGGATGTAGAGCCGACAAATGGAGATGCACAGGATTCAAGTAACATGTCACCAGCTGCGCAGGGCAGGAGAGTATCAGTCGCGTCAATCAGCAAGAACATTGACGACGCGCTACTAGCCTCACTGGATGAAGAGGCGATGGCTCTCCTTCAAGAAGAAACTGAGCCCGAGTCCGCTAAACCCAAACACTTCAAGGGCAAAGGTCGTGCATGGAAAAAAGAAGGATCTGACGAGGACGAAGAATTCTCCATAGCTGCCAGTATGAAGGCTGCCAGTAAAAAGGCTGCCAAAGCAGCACGGATGAAGGCTAAAGGTCAAATCCCCAAGAAGCGTGGTAGGCCGAGGAAGAGCGGCCGGTCTGAAGAGCTCATCGATGAGGAGACAGATGAGGATAAGGACGCGGTAAAGCGGAAACGGCCGCCTCCACGCAAGAGCGCTTTGTCTGAAGAGGTCATCATCGACAGTTCTGACGAGGAAGAAGCAAAGGAGATGGAAGTGGAGGAATCCACGACACCCAAGCACACCCCAAACAAGTCCTATACACCACAAGGCTTGCCAAAGTACATTTCTGAAGTTGACAATGGTGCGAACGGCGACCCAGAGCTTGGCACTGGTAACGAGTTGGAGGTTGCCAGCCCGTCCAAGGAGACAGTTTGAAGTGAAATCGAAGATTATGGTAAGCTACTATACCTCGATTAATCGACGGTCGGAGACATGCTGATATATTGAATGCAGATATGCTTCACAGCTGGAGAGCCAGGGCGATCTTGTATTCCATTTGTCGATTTCTTGGATAGTATATTTGGATCGAATTGTATGGCGGTGTTTGTGTAGACCTATCGGCGTCCCGGAACCGCATATGCGATAGGAATGAAGAAGCATAGTGTTAGGCGTATGTATCATCCGTCTGCAGCTGGTAATAGATTATGGTATTCAGAATGTGGATACGGGCCATGAAGCTCAGTCATCTTATTGTGAAGGCTCGAAGCATACAGTACATATGATGTCAGCAGGAAACCCTTCTCGTCTTCACGATAAGCTGAGGGTATCCCATCTATGTTATGGAACTCACAACCTTAAACCCCTCAGCCTAGCAAAGTAATACACAAGTCCAAACGCCAGTCCTCCTAGGTGTCCCGCATGGCCAATGTGCGAGTTCGCGCTGTTGAGATAGAACCCATCATAGAATGCATAGCCCGTAACAAGAGCCCAAAGTGGCATTGGCACGAGACCATATATCATCACTTTAGAATGTGGTGCCAGACACGCCGCTACACTGCTGATGCCCATGACGGCTCCGGAGAAACCCAAACCGCGCGTATAGTCTCTGGCATGAGGACCTTGAGCCTGCAACTGATAATACCGGTTGAATAGGTAGCCGACAGACCCCGCAATTCCAGAGCCAAGAGCAATGGTCAGGTAGCGGAAGGGCGTTATGATGGGCGCACTAGCCAAGAAGGAACCCAGGAAGTACACGGTAAACATGTTGGAAAATATATGGCCGATATCCACGTGCGTAAAGACGGAAGTGAGGAGCGAGAAGTAGTTTCCATGCTGAAACGCAGTGAGGTTTAACGTCATCTTGTTCATGAAATTCACAAACGGCCTTTGGAAGCCCTGCCTAGCTTGCTCCTTGACGTAATATGCGTACCCGAAGATGGCGATGTTGGTTCCCATGAGTCCATACAGAACAAGTTCGTTCATCTTTACCTGCGATCGGTAGTGACCGTAGCCCCCCGAAGAGTAGAGGCGCGTTCGTGGTAGGGCGATATGTCGGGATGTTTGAGAGGGAGAGAAGAAGTGGGCAGACATTGTTTTGGTAGTTTTTGGTGTCCTGAGTGTGCGGAGAGTCTGTGAGAGGCGGAGGAGAGACGACATGGTCCTATTTGGATCTCCACGAGAGACGTGTGGCGACGGGTAGTTATAGACGCAAGTTAAATCGACTAATTGATACAAAAGATTGATGGGCAGGGTTTAGGTCAAGGAGTCTATGTAGATGGTTAGTACTCACACTCTGTCCATGACACGGGATACGGCGACATACATCAGGCGCGGACTTGGTACGTGGGCAAAGAACTTGGGCTAATGTTGAGCATATAGAAGGGACGGACCGACGTCAGCAGGGCCAATGACAAGCACGCACGGGCCCCTGCCCTCCACCAGCTTCAGATTCCTGCTTGCATAAAGCGGCCCGCTCAGCTACCACAACACCACACAAACCGCCCTCAGCTGCACAAAATTACACCATCATCTCTGCGCTCCGCCTCCCGAGGTTCATACTGACTCCTACTGCTCGCAGTACATCCCGCGCGAACACCCACCTGCAGACCACTCTACAAGGCGAAACAACGGCATTGCGACTCTCTCGAGGTTCAACCAGCTGCCTCGACACCGCACACGACTAGAACAACTCGACATTCGAGTCGCCATCAAACCAGAAGCACCCCGATCCCGCACTTGCCGAACCCCACTTTCTTCGGGAAACACCACATCGACTTCCACGTCCAAACCCCTCACTTTACATCTGCTTTGCTCTGCCCTACCGCAAGCATTGTGCACACACCAATTGCGTATCTATCCACACCACTAGACCTTGACGTCCCGACCAGCAACCCCACCTTCGGTGGACCCCACATACACAATGACTTCAGAAATCACCAACCAACTAGCAGCAACGCAGCTGAGGTGAGTCAATGCCCAAAGAAGCAAGACCCACGCGCTGACATGTTTCCTAGCGATGCTGCGCCGTCAGGAGAGGCAAGCTGGAAAGCCGGGCTGAATGCGCCAGCGAAGGATGCGCGACCCCAGACAGAGGTACGCTATGAGCCTGGGAGTTATCGTTTTGGGACGTGTGCTAACACTAGGTCAGGACGTTACAGCGACCAAAGGCCTCGAGTTTGAAGATTTCTTCATCAAGCGCGAGCTTATGATGGGCATTTTCGAAGCCGGATTCGAAAAGCCGTCACCTATCCAAGAAGAGACGATCCCAGTAGCCCTCACCGGTCGAGACATTCTTGCGCGAGCGAAGAACGGTACTGGAAAGACTGCCGCCTTTGTTATTCCTACCCTCGAGCGCATAAACCCGAAGAGCCCCAAGACGCAAGCTCTGATCCTTGTGCCCACCAGAGAACTCGCGCTACAAACATCCCAAGTGTGCAAACAATTGGGACAGCACCTCGGTATCAACGTCATGGTCTCGACTGGTGGTACAGGACTGAAGGACGACATTATACGTTTGAGCGACCCCGTTCACATCATTGTCGGAACACCGGGCAGAATCCTCGACTTGGCTGGAAAAGGCGTAGCGGATCTTTCCGCTTGCCAAACATTTGTCATGGACGAGGCTGACAAGCTCCTCTCACCTGAGTTTACCCCAGTTGTAGAGCAGCTTCTTGGCTTCCACCCCAAGGACAGACAAGTCATGCTTTTCTCTGCTACCTTCCCTATTGTAGTCAAGAGCTTCAAGGTATGTTTAGTGAGCCTTTGCAACATACAAGATTTGCTAAACCACTACAGGACAAGCACATGAACTCTCCGTACGAAATTAACCTCATGGATGAGCTGACGCTCCGTGGTATCACTCAATACTACGCTTTCGTTGAGGAGAAGCAGAAGGTCCACTGCTTGAACACCCTCTTCAACAAGCTCCAGATTAATCAGTCCATCATTTTCTGTAATTCGACGAACCGTGTCGAGCTTCTTGCTAAGAAGATCACTGAGCTTGGATATTCCTGCTTCTACTCGCATGCGCGTATGCTTCAGCACAACCGTAATCGTGTCTTCCACGACTTCCGCAATGGTGTATGCCGAAACCTCGTCTGTTCGGACTTGCTCACTCGTGGTATCGATATTCAAGCCGTCAACGTTGTAATCAACTTTGATTTCCCTAAGAACGCCGAGACATATCTGCATAGGATTGGTCGATCTGGTCGTTTTGGACATTTGGGTCTGGCTATCAATTTGATCAACTGGGAAGATCGCTTCAATCTTTACAGGATCGAACAAGAGCTTGGTACAGAGATCCAGCCCATTCCCCAGGTCATCGAAAAGAACCTATACGTTTACGAATCGCCCGAGTCCATCCCTCGCCCTATGTCCAACGCCCAGCGCACTCCGATCCAAGGTCAGCCACAAGAACAAGACGGTGCCGCACGCGGTAACGCCAACGCTCGAGGAGGTTTCCGTGGCGGACGTGGTGGCGGTGGTCAATTTCAAGGACAACGCCGAGGTCCTCCACAAAACCAACAGAATCGTCAACCAAACGGTCAGAATCCTCAGCGAAACCCTAGGCCACAACCCACTGGTCCGCCTCCGGCCTCGTAAAAGAGTCCGGTGGGTGTTGGTTTTCTGCGCATTGTGTTGACTTTGACATCTAACATACGTTACCATGTCACCCAACAACCCTCTGTTCAGAGCCTGCAGTGGCATTTGGCGCTTTGCCACCGAGTGCGTTATTGAATTTCTTCCTTTTTACGACTATGCGATCGGTTCCGACGACACGGTACGGAATACCTGAATTTCTACTTTCAGGTTTAACGAATCGAATCATCGGCGCAATACGGTTATAACGATCTGGACCTTTCTCCATGTACTATATACCAAGGTCTGTCAGAGTCGCGTCTAGTTTTTGCTTTGTGTCGGTCGGCTGGTTTCGCCGACTGCGTTCTTGGAGGCCTCTGCCTCTATAGTAGAGCGCATTCTACAGTTCCGTGCGCTTCTAGGTTTCTAGTTCTCACTTCCATTCTCTACTCAACAGCATTGGCGGTTGTGGTTAGTATAGTCTTTTCAAAAGCCCAGCATTCCTCATGTAGAGGTTCACGGCTGAGCACGATCTTCTTTGGTACGGCTACACCCTATTCACGACGCTGCTGGATATTCGTAGCTCTTTCAGGGCTATCCCACGTCTCCCTCGGCGACACTATGTCGCTCTCATTTCTGGCTTTTGACAACAATTATCGTCTTCAGCCTCACAACTACACTCCCTATTCGATACGTTGCTGCACCATGGCGCGTATTACTATACTATGGAATTTCAGCGGCCCTTCTATCTCCCCTAGGCTACCGCACTCACCTGGCGGTACAACGGAGCGCCTTTCAATACTAGTCATCTTCTGTTTTGCACTGCAAGCAAAAGACTAGACTAGGCTGGGTTTGTGCTTCCAATCAAGCTACATGCATGCCTTTCGGACAACACGGCGCACTATTCATACTTGCGACAGTCTGCCGTCGATCCTAGAGGTTTCGTGGATTGGAAGGACTTCCTGGTAAGAAGAAAACAACGAAACGAACCACGTTGTTATCACAAGAAAACAAGAAAAAAGCTTTGAGGGCACGGTTGGAGAAGTCGTGGATTATGATCATGGTCTGCTTTGAGTACAGAAGTTGTTGGCAAATCACTGCTGCGGCTACTACTCCTGATGAAGCGACCTTGTTTGGGCGTCGTGTTTGATCGACTTCAAGTTAGTCCCAGGTCTTAACAATGCAAACTTACTTCCCTCAAACACTGTTTTCTCAACGTCTTGCTACTCGCTTTCTTCCGACTACCAAGCTTGATTGGCATCAAATGCATTGAGAACTCGTGACATATCCTGCCTGCTATGTCAGTTGAAAGCAAGGTGTACCAACTCAAAGGCTAAGCTACGCGATTTGAATGAGATGATTTCGCCTCTCATCATCGACAAGTTGAAGAACCCTTCGTGGACCAACATCAAAAGAAACTCCTAGTCGTTTTCGTATTCAATCGCTATCAGGTACCCCGCCTCATTGCAGACTCCAAATGACGCATGAGCCTGTGTTGGGTCCTTTCTATCGTTCTTGTTTCTCAATAAAAGGAATTCATATCCTCCACTTCTGTTGATCTAATCACGATAGCTAGCCAAAACGACACTAAGAATGAAAGTCTTCCCTCTCTAGAAGCCCTACATGACACCGGGCTGACAGACAAGGAAACAAACCGCCACTGGGACTTGGGTCGTTCCCTTCAGTGTAACAGGAGGCAGTGATAAGTAGCTTTGGCCGTAAAGCGACTAGCGAGCTCAAGTTTCACTCCATCTTCTAAAAGCCTGCAGCAACGCCTGGCCTTTTCTTCTCGATCCCCAAAACCATGTCCACATACTTCTTGTTGAGGCCATCCTTCTTTCTCGCAGCGAGCAGTGATGCGCTCTTCAAAACGTTCTTGATTTGGCGTCCATTCAACTCCACGCTTGCCAAGTCTTCCAAGTCGTCATCTTTCCACTCGTGCAGGCCTCCCGAGCTCTTCAGGAAGTTCTGCCAGATGCTCTTCCGCGAGGCAGATGTAAGATTGGGGTATGCCAGACTGATGTGAATACGAGACTGGAAGGCAGCATCAATGTTGTCAACACGGTTGGTGGTTAAGAACAATAGGCCTTCGTAGTATTCTAGCACACGCAGGAAGATGGACACAAGTTTGTTTCGCTCCAAATCGTGCGTGCTGCGAGCTTCGAGAAATACATCGCACTCGTCGAGAAGAAGAACAGCGTTCCATTTGGATATCATCTCGAGGATGTTGGTGAGTTTGGTCTCGACTTGGTCGGGATCGATGCCCAGATCACCAGCCGACATCATGAACAGTGGAGCGCGCATGTGCTCGGCCACGGACTCAGCGGTAAGAGTCTAAAGATTGTTAATATACTGATTAGGTATACTTTAACAAGGAAACAGATATAACTTACCTTACCCACTCCGGGAGGACCGCTGAGGAGAGTGATATGTCCACGGCCTTTGCCACTGATAACATCATCGAAGCCTGTTTGGTTCATGGCCTGCGACTCTGCAAAAGCGAGAATGAGCTCTTTCTGATCTTTGGGAAGAACGAGTGAGGCAAAGGCATTCTCATTGAATTTGATGACTTGAATCAGTTCGACGTAGAAGAGCAACCATTTCTTCTTCTTGAGCGAGTAGCCCCTCACTCTAGGCAAGCAGAGGAGATGGTGATGTTCGGTGAGTCTTGGGCGTTCCTCTTTCTCCTGACTTCCAAAGACATACTTCATTTCAGTTGGGTCTTGGATTTCCAGCCTTTCAGGGGTACCTTCAGGTTCCTTTGCATATTCTTTCGCAGAAAGAGGCTC